CTGATAAAGGATGCTTGTATAACCGACCTGATGATGTACGCTGAAAACATATCATCATGTCTTCCAATTCCAGTCGATTTAGAAGCCGTCAGGGTGCAGCTCATACAACAGAATACATGGATTCTATACACTAAGGAGCCAACTTTACTTACCAAGTTATGTACTGATGAAGTATCAAGACAAAAGATATACGGTACATACATAATAACATTAGATGATAACTGTTCAGCCAGAATAAAGGATATTAATTTAACCAGACAACCTGTAGAAAATGAAAGCTCCACATATCTGAAATTACCCTTAATAAATCTACCAACGATAAACTTACCTGCAGAAGCGCCGCCCCTGAAGCCGATGAACCTGAAAGGAATAGAACTTACAAACCTGAAACTCTTATCAATCGCCCTAGTGAAAAGTGATCCTGAAAATAGTGAAAGTGAAAACTCAATTGTGAAAATTAAAAGTGTTAGCATATGGACCATTATTCTCTATGTATTAATTGTTTTAATTGTAATGTGTATTTTAGCATATAAATTTCATTTAAAATTGTATAACTGTTTTGTCCAAAGTTCTCCTGTTTTATCCAAAAATGAGAACTTTGAACTTAAGGAGGGAGGAGTTACGTATGCTGAGACCCCCACGAATGCCCGCGTCAGCGAGATATTCTAAGAACATTGTATTACATTGTAACAATCATCGTCTGACTTAACGTAACGGATGTTGATAACATTCCTGAGGGTCAAATTACCAGATAGGATAATATTTCTCTAGCATAAGAACAATAGCATTGTAAGTTAGTCTTAAGCCAACTCTGGTAGCGAGCATACGAACTTTCGTTAGCACTTGTAATCAATATACATGTCTAATTAAAATAAAGTCGTATTTTTAAAAGGCCTTCCGGCTCCCACAACACTTGACTACCTTCTATTTTAATTTTTTTTTGTAAGGTAAGACATAATAATTTAAACAATACTTTCGTCCATCAATTACTGAAATGTTATTTTTTTTTACACACTGATCTTCTCTTTCCTTTTTTTTTCAAATACAGTTTATTTCCGTACTCACGGTTTTATCCTCGTCGCCAATGTATTTTGAATTCTGAATTTCTTTTGAATAAACTACTTCTGTTAAATTCATTTGACACTGTGCATCAAACCATTTTTCAAAATTTACTAAAAGTGTTCGTCGCGGATGACAGATATTAGGTAGATAAAACCAAAGTTTGGTCTCGTGGCCTTACCGTTCGCTGCCGTTGGTACGTAAGGTCGGCGGTTCAAATCCCAAGCCACTATTCTTTTTAATATATAAGCTTTTTAATTTTAATATCGAAGCACATGTAATTAAACTCTATCGCCGTAGTTATTAGGTACTTTTTGATATTGCCTTGGACTAATGAGTTTGACCGTTAAAGTAATTTTCTATTTCAAACAAAAATGAAGGAGATAAAGCGATGCTATTGGCATGTAATTTGTTTATTCCTCATGTTTATTAAACTTCTACCGGTAAAAATATCACGTTACCTTTTACTGATACTGATTATATTTACGAAACAAGGAAAAAAACCTGAATGTCAATATCCAAACTACATCAAATTTTTGGTCGATTGCAATAAACATTCCAGTGTGCGTGGGCGCGCACACATATGTAGATAACACTTACGTATAGATTCCGCGCATACCATTCATAAAACCCGCAATGACAATCCACGCTCCGCCCACTCACTTCACCCCGCGATGGTCTGACCAAATACTTGTTAACTTTATTTAAATTACTTTCTACCCGACAGCGAAAATTATAAAATAAAAAAAAATTGTCGAGTAAAATTTTACATTACCAAATTTTTACTGGTTATGAAAAAATAACCCTGTATAAGTGATTGATAAAATGAAAGAAAAAAGTAGCCTGAGATTCGAACCGGTAAACTTACATTTTTTATTATATCATAAGGCGGCCAACGAGCGAGCGGCCACCTGAAATCGCTGAAGTAGCGAAGTGACCGTTGCCCATAGACATACGCAATTGCATATGCGTTACCTACCTTTAATCGACAGAAGAGAGGATGCACAGAAAGAAAATATTTTCCCTTTCCATGCATCCACTTCCACTTCCCATGCTTTCCTTATAAGAAAAGGGTGTTAAGGGAAAGAGGACTAAATTAGGCCTCCGAGACGCACACTCATCAGACGAAACGCGGAATTGCTCCCACTTCACGCCTGTTTTCTGTGTGGTGGTGGTATTTCACCGAACGAACCACATACACAACTAACATTCGTGCGAAGATGTTAAAGCGGGTTCTACCACTCTTAAAATACACATATTGCGGCAAACATACTAGGATACTGAGCCAAACTAGTATATACTGTGACAAGGCAAAATTTGATATTAGTTATTACGTATCTGTCATGTTCGGCGTGACAAACTTTTATATTTAAGCGTTATGACAGGAGAAGAAAAATATTGGGTTGCCCAATAAGTTCATGCCGCTTTATAAGGAAAATTGAAAACCTGTTCTCGTAAATTTTTGGAAACATTTTTAAATTATATTGGTACGACTCTACACCTAAAACGTCTTTTATATTTGGCCAAAATTTTAGTATTTAGTATTTATCTCAACCAATGAAATGAAATTATACACAATGTAGAAATTTTTGTGACGTTTGATAATGGTGGAAATCCGAAAATGAATCCACTTCAGCTACAGTCTATTGTAAGCTACAGTCTATTATATCGAAAATCGGAACGAACTTTCCGGACAACCTATAATGTTAATACAAAGTGTCAAATGAATGTAACAGAAGTAGTTTATTCCAAATTGTATCACAAGTATATGGAGATAGAGTTCAATTTTGTCAAATGTTACGATCTTTTTGCGCACCTTGACTGCTTCGTTACTTATGACGCTGTTGCTGCTACGATGTATTTGAGCAGGGTGAATGTGTCTATTAATTTGAGGACTTTTGTTGTACCGATATAATTGATTACTTTTGGTGTACCTATATATTTGCATATCTTGTCTGTTACGATCTATATGACGCTGACTGTACACGAGCTGCCTGATTTGCAGTTCGCAGCTCCAACACAAATCATAACTATGAATGTACAAATTGAACTAAACTCCGGTTCACTGATCTGCTTCATATATCGTGAGCTGATCTGCTAGTCATCAATTTTATATGAACGATAACAAAGTATTAATACCAAATTTGCGATATGTGGTTTAAATTTCACCATATCTACAGAGAACATAGTCACTAACGAACGCCAATGAAATGTGACTATCATAACCTATAAATTGTTTTGACACATTATCAAACGTCAGTTGTAGATTGGTCGTGGTAGGGGCTGCGCGCGCAATCGTAAGTTTAATTTCGTTTATTGTTTAATTGCTTTGAAATTATTTTTATCACAAGTGCTCTTTAATATGTAAAGATAATATAAAGAGGCAATTATAATTGTTGTAAACACTGATATATTTAATTTAAATGTACGATAACATTTCAATTGTTGTGAATTTAATTGAAGATAGTACGTACAAAGCTTGTTTTGTAATTTTACAGCTCGGTATTACGTTCAGCGTTTACAGTACAGTGTAGATTTTATACATATTGGTTTAAGTAACTTCTTTGCTGTGTTAAATAGTCTATATTTGCGTACAGGTAACGTAATTTACCTTTAGTTATTTTAATGTCGAAATTTTTTTACAATATTTAGTAAAGATTTTAAATACGTACATAACAAGAGTATAGTATATTTTAGTTAATTAATTACAAAATAATTACAACGCCATCTGTTATCATTTATAGTAAACTTAATATGTATTTGGATAAATCTCACTGTTATAATTAAAAAAAAATTAAACAAGAGAATAATTTATTAAAAATCAGTCTAAAAACATATTAAGATTGCTTTGCTCTATGATTATTTTTTTTAGTCTACGTAGAATATAATTATGGTTCACCTATTGGAGCAGGACTTCGGTACGTTTAAAAACGAAACAGTAAAGAAGTACACATGGCAAACCAAGAGCGGATTCAAAGTGTCCGTCATTTCATATGGTGCTAACATTCAGTCTATTTTGGTGAGTATAAAACAACTTTATAGTGTTTCGACAAGATCTTGCTAATATTATAAATACGAATGTTTAGATGGATGGATGTTTGAAAGTATCTCCAGAACTACTGTATGGATCTTGCTGGCATTCGGCATATATGTAGAACACAGTCTGGAAGAACACATAAGCCTTTAATTAAGTTTTTTTTTAATTCCTCGCAGAGTCGCGGGCGACAGTTAGTTTAATATAAATACAGATTTAAATATTACTATGCCGTAAGTTAAATCGTAAATAATTGCGAAATGTTGTAAAGGTCCAATTAAATATAAAATATTTTTGGCTGAATCTGGATTTTACTGGAATATTTCAGGTACCTGACAAAGTAGGTGAATTAAATGACGTGGTACTTGGATTTGATGATCTTAGTGGGTATGTGGAGAGAAATGAGCCGTACCTTGGAGCGACTGTGGGTAGATGTGCAAACAGAATAAGAGGCGCTAATTTTCAGATAGATGGCGCTGAATACCAATTAGCAAAGAACGTTTCAGATCACGATCATTTACACGGAGGATTGGTTGGTTTTGATAAGGTTTGTAACTCGTTACTTAGTTTTTTTTTATTATTTTGTTAAAAATGTTTTAAGTTTAATTTTCAGGAATTTTAATATTATTCCAAACAGAAATTGATCTTTTGTTTTAATTTTTTTAGTTTTTTTTTGTAACTTTTATATACATTTATTTGTATTATATTACATTACACATTACACACAATATAGCATGGAATTTTAAATTAAAACAAGTTATAAAGATAAAAACATTCTAAAAGATACGTAAGATAGGACCGTACTTTTATTTCGTAACGTTAAACTTTAATAAGAAGATAGACTTAAAAAGATGTACTTACTTTTGAAGTATAAACAATTTTAGGTTAACTGGAATTCAGTCGTAGACGGATCTAAAGTGACATTCAGTTATCTATCAAAAGACGGTGAAGAGGGATATCCTGGCGACTTGTTAACTAACGTCATTTATGACGTAACGGATGATGACGTCATTCATGTCCAGTTTATCGCGACCTCAACAAAGAAAACCGTTATAAATTTAACAAATCATTCGTACTTTAATTTAGCTGGTCATGATGCTGGTGCTGAAGAAATTTATAACCATGTGATATCGATAAATGCTGATAAGTGAGTGTTTTATAAAGAAAACTATTTTTAGACATTATAATTATAATTAGAATTATTTCGCGCAAATGGCGCGCTTTCGGAAGAAAATCCGACAGCGTACCGGTGTACTGGCAGCACTAGCCTTACTAAAATGTCAACGTCTATGTCCCCTCACTAATCATTCTGACACTTGACTTTGTAATAAAAGCGCGCCATTCGCGGCATAGGAACTAATAATGTCTAAAAGTATATAGAAGTTCATAAATTTGCTAAGAATCATTTTACGATTACCAGAGTTTTTTCGTTTATTTTTTGTAATTTGTTTAGAATTACAGAGACCACTCCTCAGTCGATACCAACCGGTGGTTTTGTTAACGTCGGTGGTACACCGTTCGATCTTCGTATTCCAGTACGTCTCGGTGATGCGATGAAGCAAGGACAAAACTTGTTTGATGACAATTTCTGTATTAATACATATGGAAATAAGGTGAGTTAATTCACATATTGATTTAACTAATTTGGTTACTATCGAAATTTCTTTACAAAAGTTTTTTTTTAAATGATAGGACCGATATGTTTAGTACAAGTTGTGTTTCTAACTTCTGCATTTCCACCCGCGCGGAATTAAAAAAAAATTAAGTATGCTATTCGTTCTTCCAGATTATGTTCTATATGTATGCCAAATTTCACAGAGATTCGTTCAGCCGTTCTGGAGATAGCATCAAACATCCATCCATCCATCTATACATTCGCATCTATTATATAATTTTAGTAACATAGTAAATTAACGCCATATTGTAATTTGTCTAGGCCTAATAAATGTACTAAATTAAATTGTAGTTTTTGCATTTTACTAAATTTTACGGTGACATATTATTTCTCCAAAGGAATTGAACTTCGTATCTCGAGTAAGTCATGCGAGATCAGGACGTTACTTAGAGGTGTACAGTGACCAGCCAGGAGTTCAGCTGTACACAGCCAATTTCCTGCCGTTCCCTGACCAGGAGGCTCTAGTGGGGAAGTCCGGAGTTGGGTATAGAAGACACGGTGCCTTCTGTTTGGAGACACAGAATTATCCGGATGCTATTCATCATCTTAATTTCCCATCTCCTGTCCTGAAGCCAGGAGATATTTATGTACATAAAGTTACGTATAAATTTGGTAGGGAAAAATATAATTTTCCTCAAGTGGTTACTGCTTAAAATTTAAAAAGTTTCTATTGTTAACTAATTTTTCAATATTAAGTAATGTAATTATGATTATATTTCAAAGATATTAATTGTCTATTTTGAATGTTTTTAAAACATATAATTTTTATTGTAATAAAATGAAAATCATTTATATTTGTATATTAGTGAAAAGGGAAACAAAATAAATTAAGTTGACAAGGATTTTTTTTATTTATTTTATTCCATAATTAACAAAAAAATACTGGATTAAACCCAAATAATATTTAATTAAAAATACTTTCAAACATATTTTTAATTTCTACATAATTTTTAAATTTACTATTTGACCCAATACGATTAAAAGATTGTATAATATTTTTCAAATATCTTGGCGGCTCGTAAGTTCATGCGAATCGGAACACATCGGTGTATCGAAGAGCGGGTTGCGCGCGGGGGGGGGGACTGCGCAATGACCTTGAGCCGCCAAGACATTTGAAAACAATAATAACGGTTTCAAAATGGCGGTCGCGCGTCATTTCCAATGGAAAAAGCGCCTTAGTCAAATAATTAGTTGCGTCAGTGTTTCTGGTGAAAGTTTGCTATAATAATACACTTATAGTTATAAAATCTAATTTTATTTAACTAAATTTTGAAGTTATAAAGATGCTTCTAAGCCATTTTGACCGTTTTGACCATTCTCCTTGATGTTGTCTCCCCATGTGAGGTTCAGACTACGCTTCATCCCGTCATCGAGTGGTGGGATCAGAGAACGAGGTAACAAAAATGTAGACAAGTTGAATAGATCCAGGAATACTTTGTAACGATCACTGAAATTATAGAAATAAAATTACTAAATTTTAAGTTATACTAATATAAAAAATGCGAATGTTTGGATGGATGGATGTTAGATATCACCAGAAATGACTGAATAGATCTCGATGAAATTCGGCAAACATATAGAATATAGTCTGGAAGAACTCATAGGCTACTTACAAAGTTTTTTTTTATTTCGCGTGGACGAAGTCACGAATGACAGCTATTATATAAATATAAAAGAAGAAGGTCGATGGCTCAGAGGTTAAGCAGTTGACTTGTAATCTATAGGTCCTGGGTTCAAATCGCAAACCTTTATTACTCGTACAAGCTGCATCGGAGAAGAAATTCAAAGATATGTGTGAAGTCAACCTGCACTGGGCTATGGTTGACTATGGCTAGTCACACCTAACTTAGGAGAGGCTCCAAGACCTTCGGTAAGGACAAATAGCGAGCTGATGATGATATAAAAGAACGTATAGTACGGATAGTTTGTGTGAAAGAGACAAAGAGATGAAGTCTTGATGAAGTATACTCACCTAAGCGTAGACCTGAGGTACTGATATCCAGATGAACCACCAGTACCAAGTTGCTGAGACCCAATCATCCGCTGCACCATTATCACGTGGTTATCTATACAAAATAATCAATAAATTCCCTAACAATTAACAATGGTAAAGCAAAAATACGCTCCAATATCAAGTAAACGGCTAGTTGTATAATATTTCCACTGACGCGGCCACGACTACTATCCAAAATGACGAGCGATCAGATTTTTTTTGTATTGCAAGTTGGAAAAAGAGTATGCGGCTACCTGAATTCGCTAAAATAGCGAACTAACTGCTACCTGTGGGCAGATGCGTTGTCTATTTTTAATCATCGAAGGAGAGGACGCACAGAAATAGAATACTTCTCCTTCCTATGCATCTCCTCTCCCACCAAATTCATCTCCCCTTATATAAGAAAAGGCTTAAAAGGGAACGTCAGGTATATCAGTATGATAAGTCACTGGACAATCCTTCCCCACAAATTGACAGTCAACAAAATTGTTAATATGAAATATTACATCTGTCAAGATGATGATGATGACATTAGATGATGAGAGTACGTACAACGCCACTTGGTGATGAGGCTGTCAATGTCCATGAGCAGCGTGAGCAGCTGATGCGGCTGAGAGAAGCGCGGCTCGTCGCGGTAGAATGTGATCATGATGGCACCTTGCAGCGCTCTGTGTGACAGCCTGCACACACACAACATCTAGAACTAACTACTAACTAGAATAGTCCCTAGACATCTCCAATTGCAGACCAGTTCCCTATCTTTAATCGATTAAGACGTCAACATATCCCCTTCCCACTTCACTGCTCAAATCCACTTTCCCTTCCCATATTTTTCTTATAAGACAACGGTGGGAAGGAGAAAAGAACTGAAATTAGGACTCCGAAACACACTCTCATCATACGAAATGCGGAATTGAGACTTGAGATCCGTATTCTGTGTGGTCGTGGTTTTACACCAGCTCATTTGTGGAATGATTGCTGGTGTCTATCAAAAACATAAATTACATACATGTACACTATATTTTACAGTTTTTCTTTACTATATTGCCTCACCTTCTTTCCCCCCGAGAGCGCAGAGCATCATGTACTGATGGGTCAAAGATAGAGCGGTATATCTCTCTACGATTCTCCGCGTCCTGGAGACGATGTTTGCGAACCATCTCGTTTGGTTCAAGCTGGAAGAGTAAATACCAACCTTACGAACATAATGTACCAAACGAAGAGAAATTATTCAAATTATAAAATTTGGTCAGACATAAAAACGAGAGTTTAGTTGACAATATTACTGTGGGCTTCTGAGACCTACACTTCCGTTTAAATCATTATTATCTCTGTTTTGTCAAAGATAATAGCGATGATGTGTTTTTTTATAAAAAATTTGATCTCAGAAAACCACGATTAGTAATCTTAACAGTAGATTAAGGATTGATTTTTATAGATTCTACTTTAGATATAAGTTTGTGGTACAGTCAGCTGCAAATATACCGTAGCAAACAACTAACTACTATGACTACTAACTCCTAAACTACTAAAGTAACGAGCGAGCGGCCACCTGAAATCGCTGAAATAGCGAAGTGACCGTTGCCCATAGACATACGCAATTGCATATGCGTTGCCTACCTTTAATCACCAGAGGAGAGGATGCACAGAAAGAAAATATTTTCCCTTCCCATGCATCCTTTCATCCAGAAAGTCCACTTCCACTTCCCATTCTTTCCTTATATTATGAGAAAAAGGGTGGGAAAGGAAAGAGGACTAAATTAGGCCTCCGAGGCGCACACTCATCAGACTGTACTTGGAATTGCTTCCACTTGACGCGTGTCTTGTATGGTCGTGGTATTTCACCGGGCGAGCCGGGACAATTCGTGCGAAGATGTTAAAGCGGGCTCTACCACTGTATTAATTAGAATTAATTAAGACAGAAATTAATTAATTAGATTAGATTGATTTTTATTAGAACCATACCATGGCCTCGTTGATGTCATCTTTGATCATGGTGTCAACAGCATTCTGGAACTTTCCCCAGAAGTTAAAGCCGTGTGTATTGAGTCCCGGAGTACGCTCTAGCCAGCGCTCTATCAACGCAAGTAGAGCTGGTTCTTCCTCTGATCTGATATTGTAAAATTACCTCTTTATAATGCAACAAATATTATTATTAACTAGCTGTCGCCCTCGACTTTGTCTGCGCAGAATTTAAAAAAAGAACTAAGTAAGTAGCATGTGTTTGTTTTAGATTATGTTCTATATCTGTGCCAAATTTCATCGAGATTCGTTTAGTTGTTTTAAAAATACCTTTTATCAAACATCTATCCATCCATCAATCAAGGAATTCGCTTTCGAACTACTTATCTTTTTGGGTACCTTTCTAACTTCCCCTGTCTTCCTCCCGCTTATCCTTCTTTCTAGATCCATTTAAAACCAGGTAGTATTTTAAAAAGTTTAAGTATGTGATTATGATTGTCCTCCAAATATATGTAAATTACTTAGCATCAATCGTAAAGCGTCAGAAAGTCAATTTTATAAGATTCTAGTACACAACACAGTAAAAAAAATATTTTCTTAGTAACAAATGGGTTAATACGTTCCATGCCTCATTGAGTATGAAAATGTACTCTCCAGACAAGTCAGTGGCACTTAACACATTAAATGCTAGTTACATTTATCAATCGGCCAATGCCATGGTTACGGCTGACCGAGTTCGTAATTTATATGAGCCACAGTTATTGGAAGTGAGTTGCAACTCACTTGCGTAGAGATTCCATAGCTTCAGGGTCGTCACCGAACACCGTTTGATAATTCTGGTTGTATTTAACACGGAGAGCTTGCTTTAGACCCAGCTGGAATTAAAAAAAAACTTAGTAGCCTATGTGTTCTTCTGGACTATACATCTTCAGTGAGATCCACGCAGCCGTTCTGGAGATATCTTTTAACAAACATCCATCATTCTATCCAAACTTTCGCATTTATAATATGAGTAATAAGTAAGATTTAGCAAAGTTTCATATCGCACTCGAAAGATGGCACTATAATTACCTTGTTCTCCAAGAGTCGGAACTGTAAACTCTGGAAACCAGAAGCAGGGCGTAGGTAGTGTCTGAAGTCCATAAAATCCAATGGCGTCATTGTCTCTAATATCATCACTTGGTCGACTAGCAACTGAAAATGTTATGTAGATTATTAGAATAAAATATGTTTTAAAGGAGATTTGATATTAAGACTATAAACTATTAGGAAGAAAATTCGACACTAGCCTTATTAAAATATCAACGCTTATGCCCTTTAAGAGAATGTAACTAGTATGCCCTAATCAATCTGACACTTGGTAACGAAAGCGCGCCATTTGCTCACTATTCGGGACTAAATCTCGTAGTTACCTTCCCGCGCTATTCTGTCACTATTTTTCACATATCTTTTTATGATTAAAAAGGCAAAAGTTCAAGCCAGTATGCCACATCTTTGGCAGAATGTACATTCAGCATATCTACTTCAATTTTTTCCATTCTCTACATTCCTCTCAATGTCTTGGCGATACTAGTGTGACTGTTTTGTCATACTTTAGAAAAGAATACGAATTTTTTTAGTCTTCTGGTCACAATGGAACATAACTACATACTTACAGTAAATTACACTCCTAATTTTATGTCATTACCAGTCAGGCAAAAATGTTAAAGTGTCTAGAATATTTTATAATAGAGATAGTGGTGTTAAATGAACGCATCGTAAATAAATTCCGGAGGGTTCATTGGTTTACACATTTACGACTTCCTTCGTTCTTGACTCATAAAATTATGTTTATTAGAATTCTAACATAAAAAGGTAACTTTAGCGTGGGAAGAATGCGCAGTGTTGCATTTTGAGCTAGTCGAAGGAAACAAGGGTGATTTCAGTTGATTTTAGAGTTTTAGTAAGTTTTGACGCGGCGTTAAAAAAAGCGCCTGGGCGAATGCGTTTTATGCATGAAAAAAAGTTTTTATTTCTATAGTTAGGATGCCCTTGGATTCATTTGCCATGGTATATTAATTTAATTATTCGAATTGAACAGTTTACTATCATTTAACCTTAAAATCATTCAAATACTAGACATTAATAAAAAAGAAATACGCATCAATTTAGGCCGCACTACGGAATACGTTTGACGTATTGATATTGTCCAAATGTTACTGTAAAATAGTAAACTTAGTTGATTTATCATCTTACTAGAGTTAGTCTGTGAATCCGTTGGCTAAAAAAAACTTATGCCAAATTTCAACGTGATCTGCGGAGCCGTTCTGGCTATTTTTTTCTGTTAAATCAATCCAACTTTTTGCATTTATAATATTATATTAGTAAGATTGTTAGAATAAATATATAATATTTTAAATAGTCAGGTAATATTAATGTCGCATATTCTGTTGTAGTCCAGTACATTTAGATTGGGTTTTTAATCATTTTCTTGTGAGGTTATGAACTAACGATGTTTATAATTTAACAACAACATATAACCGGTGACGGGCCTCAAAGATCATCAAGAGGTCACATGTCAACGCGTAATAATCAGCCTACTAGATAATTAATATCTACACATTCGGGTCTTCATACAAACAAGATACAACTGGATATGAGTCAAGGGAATTGATGATTGCAGTTTGGTCATTCGGATTGAGTTTTCACTGCGCAATAACTAAAAATATTTATTTTATTTATAACTAAAAGTCTTTCAAAAGAAATGGAATGAGTAAACACTAGAACCTGGATCATTTGTTTTTGTAATATTAACAGTTGGTTTTGAAGTCCAGAATCTCATGCATACTGTTATCTCTGTTTGGTCCAAGATGAAAGACAAGGACTATTTACATACAGACATTTTGGTGTCAGAAATCCACGATATACCACTCTGAATTTGACGGGGGTTTAGTTTGAGTTGGCGTGTAAATTTATTTTTCAATAGTACAGTCGACTTTGCGGTATTCCTGTTTCATTGTATGCGCTATTTTTAGTCAATTTAAAGCAAATAATTATCGCTTCAGAGGTTGAATATTGGCTATAAATATTGTACTTATATATTTGGCCTTAAGTTTATAAAACAATTTCATAATAATAAAAACTTCAATGGCGCGATTTAACCTTCACGGCCTCTGATTGGCCGCGGATGACGCAATAAAATTGTCGTCACCAATCACATATCTTTAAATTTGTCAATGGTTTTGACGCAGCGATATTATAACAAAACAATATTATACCGTGATCAGTGTAATTATACGAGTTATAACCGCTACCGATGACCTGGTTAACCTTGACAAAATGCAATGTGAAATTGGAATAAATAGCGTCATTTGAGTGCATCGGCCGCGAATATTTATTTGTGCAAATCTACTTATACAGCCAATAGACTTATACAGAAATATAACTAATAAAACCTAACCTATAAACTTATCGTATTTGATAATGGACAACGATCTCTTAGCTATATTTCAGGTTACAAATGCATCTACCGTGGGCTAGGCAATAAACCTTTGATGATCTAGCCAGGCCAGTGCGGATTGGTTGATTTCGCACATATAATTCGTTCGCAAAATGCAGGTGTAGCTTACATTATGACGTATTCATAAAAATGTATGATATTGAAAGTTAATTTACCTTTAATATAAGTACAACCCTGTTGAGCCTTTTCAGTATTTCCATGGTGTGCCCTTCGTCCAATCCCTCCACGTCTAATAAAGCACGAACCGAATCCACTTCGAAAATGATCTGCTTAAACCATAGTTCGTAAGCTGTAAATATAAAAACGTAGGTTAGTAGAAGTATAGAAAAGTAGAGTTTTAGTTGCCCATTTTTGTCTCGACCTTTTATCATCACAACGCGTTTATAACTACAGTGCGACAGAATTTTAACACCCGGTAGGCATTAGCGAAATTAAAGTAAAACATTTCATTAGCACGCTCTGTCAATAACTGCCACAAAATCCTTGTCGGACTGTAGTTCTCTTCTGTCGGTATCCATGTTATATCTCTTGTGGTATTACCCTAAGTATAGATCATATTTTCTGACAGAACCAACTGCAGAAACGTCACTCATCGTGTCAGACAAGTTTGTCGTTATGTATTGAGATATGTATATCAGATGACCTGAGTATTTATTTGATGTATATAGATAGATAGATAGTATGATGATGATGATGATGATGATGATGATATACCCCCTACATAACGTCCGATCAATTGGCGGCGTGTGACAAGGATCATACCTTGGTGAGTAACAATAAACAGATGCTCATCGTGTACTGGCTTCGAGGATTCCGCGCTTAGCATCCGTTGTGATGTTAGCAGCTTATCCAGCATCAGGTATTCTCCGTACAGCATGCCCGCCTCGTTGCCAAGATGGCTTCCGTCTTGAGCACCTGAATCGTCCATAACTGACCTGAGTGAGAGATCAAAAACATAGAATTAAAAGTCTTATCCGAATATGAGCCACTGTATTGATCCAACACTAGCCTTACTAAAATGTCGACGTTTGTGACCCCACACTATTCATTCTGACATTGGACTTTGTAACGAAAGTACGTCATTCGCGCTAAAGGATTCTAATTAATAATGTCTAAAAGTAATTATTTTTAACTGTTATTGTTACTCTTAAGATGGCTAAGTTTCACAATATTTTTTTCGCAAAAAGTAGGTCAACTTCTCTAAATCAATGAGACACTGATTTAACCGATATAAAATATTATTTAGTAGGATATGCTTGTTGTCGTGCAGTCAAAAGGTTAATGTTTTCAAAGCATGAATCAAAATGTCAGCATAAACTAAATCAACATCAAAATTATAACTATTACAAACTATTTTTTGTTGTCTTGCTAATAAACACATTCAGTGCCAGCTACTTCATTTTGGTACGTGAAAATCGTAGCGGCATTCAATGTGTTGATTTTAAAAATCAATAAGCAGTGCAAAGGATACGAATAATAAGAGATTAGTAAGTATATTGTTTCAAAGAAGTTATAAGGGCGAAAGATATGATCCTACCCTACATTACTCTGGTAATGAATTAGTCAATCTTACTTATATTACAATCTTACTAATATTATAAATTCGAATGTTTAGAGGGATGGATAGATGCTTGTTTGAAGGTATCTTAAGAACGGCTCAACGGATCACGATGAAATTTGACAGGGAAGAACACATAGGCTACTAAGTTTTTTTTTTAATTCTGCACGGCCTGAGTCGCGGGCGACAGCTAGTACTGTATATTGCATACGTAAACACGTGAGGAGAAAAGGTATTTGAAGTTAATTTTATTTGTAAAAACGTATCACATAGCCGGTTTTGTGAACAAGATACGATAACACGCATCAATAAATATTTGTATTCAATGAGAATAAAAACCTGCTTGAAACTTACAATTTGGTTTCGTACAAGAAATGGTTAAAGTTATCTTACTAATATTAAAAATGCGAATGTTTGGATGGATGGATATTTGAAGGTATCTCCGGAACGACTCAACAGATCTTGCTGGAATTAGGCATAGATGTAGAACATAGTTTGGAAGAATACATAGGCTATTTATTAAGTTTTTTTAATAACGCGCGGACGGAGTCGCGAGCGAGAGTTAATACGGTATAAAACTATAAAAAATTGTTGTCGAACCCATTAGGGGCCCTTCTGAAATGATGACCATGGATTAGTACGTACGTTTACCGTTTTTATATTTAGTTTATTATGTCTCACGAAAGTTTAATTAATTTAATTATACGAATCAAGTACAAATACTATTTTTGTGCATAATTAGTGTTATTAATAGAGATGTTTTTATTGAATTTAATTTTAAACAAAGGTTGTTTTGCGAGAAAGTATAATTGCTTGTACGTTTGACGGTGAATTTTTATTCACATTAATTTATATAACTTTACTGGAAAGCTGGAGTTAAGAAATAAACATCTTAGTTGTTTCGTATTTATATATGACATATACGTAAAGTTTCACTCAATTTTTTATACACGTCCCCACGTACTACGTACGTCCCCAAGTAATACTCTTTGCACGTCCCAATCGTGGGGCTCGAAGCCTACCCAAGCTATGACAGATTAGGCCATAGACAACCACGCTGACATTACTTTTTCCTTCTTTTATTTAGCATTACTTTTACTAAAGAAAACAGGAAAGGAAAAGGAACATAACTAATACTAATAGCAGTAGTTTTCCCTGTACTATATTTTGGTTGTTCAATTTATTTTACGTTTACGTTTCAGTGAAAAGATATTGCTTATTGTTCGTTTGTTTGCATTGCAAATGCTTATCTGTGATTGTTGTTTGTGCAAGAGACATACAATTTCGATAGTGTTGTATAACATATTCGTAAAACAGGTTTGCAAATGTCTATATTTAAATTGTCATGTACATTCTAAACAATGTTGAAAACTTTCACTTTTTATCGATTCATGTTTAAAAAATATAACCTCAAATAATTTGACAAAATATTAATAATCCTAAACGGACTGCTTAAGAGTTAATTAAACCATAGAGCTGTAGTAAGATGTCCTTAAATTCGTTGTTTTTAAATACAAGGGCTTCCAATCTTACTTATGATGGTATTTTGGTTATTAATATAATTTTTTACATCAACGCTTTGGCTTTGCAATTTCAACGTTAAGTGAATATTAATGGCCAGAACTTTTTTTTTTTTTTACTAATCATAACTCAAATCACATACTCAGAAGTTAGTATTATTATTTAACTATGTATCCGATGAACTGGTTTTGTTTCAAGACAGCTTTTTAGTCGCGTGCCAAACTGTTAGGTTGAATTTATACTTTTACTATTTGTCGCCTACGATTACATCCGCGCGGAATTCGAAAAAAATAATTAGTAGCGTATGTGTTCTTCCTATGTTCTGCATCTATGACAAATTTCTGCAAGATACATGCAGCCGTTTTGAAGATACCTTCTAACAAATATCCATATATCTATCCAAACCTTTTCATTTATAAATAAGATAAGAAGTAAGATGTATTGACATCTACATACTTGTATAAGTGTATGTATAATATGTACAGCCGTTAATCCTGTAAGGATCAAAAAATGTATGTAAAAAAAGATCATACGTACAATTTTTCTTACCAGGAAATAGTGTTGGACAGTTTCAAAGATATAAAAGTTATAATTTTAAATATTATCGAAGGGCAAACTTATTAATACAGCTATGACTAAATTACTGGTTGAAAAGTAAAATTTGACCACCCTGTTTGAGAAAAAAAAAGGATTATGATAATCGGACAACCAGGAATGGAGTTACGAAGCAACAAAAATAAAAATAAATATACAGACAAATTGAAAACCTCTTTCTTTTTGAAGGCTGTTAAAAATACTTTTAATATTTTCGAGTTAAGAGCCAGAACTTTTCAACGATATTATAATAAGATATTCCTTAGTAACATTAGATAAAGAAAACTATTAAGAATAAATTATTTTATAATTAATTAAAAAAAAACATACCTCATAGGGCAGGCCATTTTGCAAATTGGATATGTGTCAAATTAAAAAAAAACGTATTCCAAATTTGAAATTAACACGCGGCACGGAATTTGTGTTCGCGCTCTCTCGGCGCGCGGTTAATTGATACTGGTGCGAGTACGACGCGCGACGCGGTTCAGATTTCATCATTCCCTCCTTGCTCGATTTACTCGTAACTTTAAACGATCTACCGTAACATTACTGGAATGAACAAGATAAGCAAAATATTTATTTTATGCCTGCGATCTGCTAGTTTTTGCTAAGTATTTAAACATATTAGGTAGGTAGAAAAAGAATAATAAATCAGGATGTGAACGACTTCATTGTGACATGAATAAAAAAACTTTCGCGCCAAAACCTCTTCCGTACATGAAAATAAAATTGGTAGAAGCCAGTAACAACAAAATTTTTGTTACGGGTGGGCCGGCTCGACCGGTAAAATACCACGATCATACAGAAAACAATCGTTACTTGGAAACAATTTCGCGTTTCGTCTGATGAGTGTGGAGGCCTAATTTTAGTTCTTTTTACACCCTTTTCTTTTAAGAAAAGGATGGAACGGGGAAGTGGATTTAATCGATTCGTAGTCTACTGTCTAGTAGTACGGATTTCTATTAGCAGTTGTCGCTTCGCTATTTCGGCGAACTTCGAAGGCACCTTGTTCTCTTGATACCTTAGGATATAAAAAAACGGAAATGAAAACCGGTTTGGCAGGAGAAATCCACACTTTTTTTTGATGAATTACCATGCCATAACCATAGGCTAAAGTTTTGTAAAAAATACACTACATAAAGAATTAAAGCGAATTAAAATTTATGCCTCTGTATTTTAGTCCATAAGGGAAAAATAAAATATATTCTACGCAGATAATTAGAAGGTACGAACTACTTATATTACTTAACAAGTTTAAAAACTTTACATATTTAAACTCACATTTATGTAAAATTTATTGAATAAAACATAATTATGTTGCCTTATTTGATTAACTTTTAATTAATTTAAGACGTCGTTTTACTAGAAATTGAAATTATTTTTCTTTTATGATAGCGTGTTTTTTTTTCGTCTACAGCCACAGCCACGCTGCCACGGTTACATGTCCGTGTAAATGGAATTATTTAAAAATCCTGAGAATTTGTCACTTAACTCCATAAACTCGATATCGAATTAAAGTCAACTTATTAATTAGTAGAATCGTTTTCATTTGACATCGGAATTGTAGTAAGCATATTAATTTTGCTTGACAAGCATTTAATCAGCATATTTTGTTGTAATGTATGCAATATATGTTGCATATTGCCTAAGCGATCAACATCTGACGCCATAAAAACAGTGTACGAAATCACTCTCATCAATATTTATATAGGCTATGAATATGACGGAAAATGTCACTGAAAATTAATGATTTCCAATAACAAATCATTTTAAAAAAATTAATAAATTAATTGTAATATAAAAATCATTGGTAGGTATCAATATTTATTTTAGGACATATCTTTAAATATAATATTTCTTATTTCCTACATTATTGTCGACAACTCTATTAAAGTCAAAATGGGTTTTCCTAATTCTTTAGATAAAACGTGACTTTATTATAAAAGGGAGTTACTACAGATGTAACGAAAGATAGATCGATCTGTAGGACGAAAACCTGGGGCGCCGACCCAATATCAATGATATAAAACAGTAACATGTTGATACAATTCACTTAAAAAAGTTTCAGCGATGCTACTTGTAATTTTTCCAATATTTTAAAATAAATTCATAAAACAATCATCCCAGTTATTAATAGTTGCATTAATTTCAAATAGAAAAAGTTTGAATAAAATGAAACTGGGAAACTGGCCTTATCAAAAGTACCGCCATAGACCATTGTGTAAAATACTTCGTGTCATTTTGAAGTTAAATGTCATGTTAGCCTTATTGTCATTTTTTAATGTCAAACATTTTTGTTTTCTTGTTAAATACACCATAATAAATTGCAATAGATTTGAAATAAACTAAACAATAAAAGTGCAAGGATTTTATAACTGTAAAAGTATGCTATCTTCATCAAAAATTTTAAGGTTGGTACAAATTAATCTATTGTAAAACTGAGCACGGATTAGGTACCATATAATTCTATGTAGATTTTACTATGATAACAATGAAATTTAAATGTTGTTATTATAATTAAATACATTTATAAAGTTTTGTACAATTATAAAATTGAATTTAACAATAAGTTGTCTATGGTGAGTTCTTGTCTTTTTGACATTTGTTGCGATATTTACTTGGATATTTTGGAACGCACTTTAAGAAGTCATTCGAAAATAATTACGGGAAATATTTAGCGATTATCGAAATATTATTATCATAATAATACTTGAAAACTGTGAAAATAAAAGTGAGTACAGCTTTTTGTGGAACCTCTAAATCTTTAGTTTTTAAATGTAGTAAGTGGGTGTTATCGAGCTTTTTTGTTTTTGTTATTGTTAGTCACTAAGAATATCTACGAGTATACCTAAACAAATAAGATATTAATCCAATAAGTGTTTATCGTTAAGTTACGGTACGTAATTGGTTTGTTTTTTAATAAGAAAAATACATGATGCTTTAAAAGTATTAGTGACATCAGTTCTTAGTCATGAAAAACAGACTAATTTACGAATATATTATATATATCATACGAATAAATAGACCAGGAAAATCAACATTATTTTGTTATTAATTAGTAGAGTATTTGCCAGTTTTAGCACAAGTAATCTATATAAAAGAGTATTTCAAACAAAATAGGTACATATATTTTTTTGTAACTCTTAATGAAGTTATCTTATCATTGCCGCCTTTATCCTATATTTGATATCTTAGTTGGTAAATCGTTTGTTCTAATTAAAAGAAATTGTTTTTAAATATTTTTGTGAAGTAATCATCTGTTGAGAAATTTGCTGCATCATAGCTTTGAATTATTGTGTAATTCAATATGGAAATGGAGCAATTGACATTAAAAACCTATATAAGACATAAAACGTCGTTGAACTTATGAAGTATCTTATGCGTAAAATGTATTATGTTAATTTTCCTATGAGTAAAATTAAGTATATATTTTTGATATAACCTGCACCAGTTTATATAAATTCAATGTATTATATAACATATACATAACAATTTAAGTTCAACTGTTTCTCTATCTATATTATAGTGTTCAAAATCGTCTTGCAACTCTGTGTATAACAATTCTTTGGTGTGTTATAGTAATTAAGAAATGTCTCAGAAAATTGTGTTAGTCATTTGACTTATACAAATATTATGTAATAATATATATCAGATATATTCAACAGAGTAATGGGGCAGACATTGTCGGAGCCGATCACAGAGAAGCAATCATCAACATGCCAGGACTCGAGGTACCTTGTTGGCTCATCCTGCATGCAGGGCTGGCGGGTCTCCATGGATGACTCTCATACACATATACTGTCGCTGCCTGATGATCCTGGGACTGCTTTCTTTGGTGTTTACGATGGGCATGGCGGTATGTAGTAACACTAACTTCATTGCTTTATGAAATCAGTTTAATGCCGTCACAATTGGTGAAGGTAATCACAGCTTAAATAAATATAAGTGTAGATTAATAAGACTTAATTAATTTACTTTTCATAATAATTATACTTTTAGTAAAAAATACATTAAGTTAGTTAACACATTCAATGCCACTGCGATTTGTATGTACTGTAATGAACTAACACAGCGATTCAGTAGCAGTCAAAGTGTTAAAAATAACTAATTAAACACAATTATTATTTGTGGAATAAATATAGTTTTATCAACTGTTATGTATTATATGTGTTGATTACAGGAGCAAATATAGCTGAGTATGCAGGCAAGCATTTACACAAATACATTACGAATCGTCCTGAATATCATCTTGGTAATGTTGAAGAGGCACTGAAACAGGTAATAGAGCACCAATAGTCTACTGGTTAAGGGTACGGATTTCTGATCATGTGGTCTAGAGTTCGAATCTCGCCATTTGACTGTTTTCGTTATGCTATCACAAACCGAGAGCTTGATTAGTGGTACAAGAAATGTTAGTAAATTAACAAAAATCTGCTAATATTTATTAAAAAACATTGAATGTATTGTCAGATTATTTACATTCCAAGTACAGTCTTTATTTGTGTCATTCTGTTATAAATATGTGTAGATGTGAAATATTTTATTAACCACATCAACCTGCGGAAACTTTGGCCTCCCGACATCCATACATTGCAATGGGTTGCATGAAAAATGGGAAGTGTAGAAATTATTTTCTTTGGTTATTATTTTGTGTTCAACAAAGTTAGTTTGGTTAATAAATATCTATTTATATAGATGTGTTAACTTTGTAGGCTTCCTACAACAATTCAATGTCGGAAGGCTTGGTTGTTTTTATGTTTTGAACATATTCTGTATTGAAATCTAGATTTTTTTGAATATCTTTATATATGTAATTCTTCTGTGAGTGTGTATGTCACTGAACTTCTCTCAAACGACTGGACCGATTTTGATGAAATTTTTTGTGTGTGTTAAGGGGATCTGGGAATGGTTTAGATTCACAATTTTCATCAAATATTAACTTCATATTAATTTATTCAAATTAAAGACGTGTAGACAGGACAACGTCTGTCGGGTCCGCTAGTAGTAATATAATCTTTTATTTTTAATTTATCAATCAATTTCTGAAATAATTATGTAAAGGAATTTTATGTTCCTTACAAGTAGTAGAAGTGGTAATGACGGGGGAGGGGATACATAGAAAGGGGAAATATCCTTTTTCTGGTCATCTTATCCTCTGTATAAAGAAAGGCAATCTACCGGCAACTAACTTAATATTGTTAAAAAAAAAAACTTTTTCAGGGTTTCCTGGACTTGGATCAGGCGATGTTGGAGGAGGACCTGCTGCAGGAGAAGGTAGCTGGTAGCACAGCTGTGGTGGTGCTCATCAAAGACAATGTTGTTTATTGTGCCAATGTCGGTGATTCAAGAGCTATTGCTAGTGTTAAAGGAACGGTGAGTAACTACAAACAGGATTTATATCAGTAGAGAAAAATTTTTTAGTCTTTATCTAGACTCGTTTTTAAATTTGAGGGTTAGTACCATTTGGTTTGGTTGGTACCAAGAGCGTCGGTGGCTCAGTGGTCAAGCACTTGACTTGCAATCTGCAGGTCCTTGGTTCGAATCCCGCCATGTACCAATGTGTTTTTCGATTTTCGATATACATATGTACATTTATCCATCGTGATGCAACCTGCACATATCTGAGAAGTAATTCAAAGACATGTGTGAAGTGAATCAACCCGCACTTGGCTAGCGTGGTTGACTATGGCCTAATCATCCTTAACTTAGGATAGGGACATATAGTGAGCATTAGCTCACTATACGTCCCCACCGAGGGGCTCTAGAATAATATTAACCAAATGGTCATCGTCATCAGATGATGCTAAATGTTTGAATTATGTATAGTTTAAATTATTAAAATTTAGATATGGCTCAGTTATCACTTAATAGTTATCAATATTCCTTTCAAGTACTTTACGTGGGAACTAGCTGTCGCCTGCGACTCTGTCCGCATGAAATTACTTAGTAGTCTGCGTGTTCTTTCAAGCTATGTTTTATGTTTATGTCAAATTTCAGCAGGATCCATGCAGCTGTTGTGGAGATACTTTCTAACAAACATCCATCCAACCAAACATTTGTATTTATAATATGTTTATTTTAATATTGATTTTTGTCTTATCTCGGGTTTTGCATCACTAATATTCTATTTAACATTTCCAGGTGGAAGTATTATCATATGACCACAAGCCTAACAATGAAGAAGAACTCCGCAGGATCACAGCTGGTGGTGGCTGGGTCCAGCTAAACCGGGTTAATGGTAACCTAGCATTGTCCAGAGCGCTGGGTGACTATGTCTTCAAGAGGAACTACAGGCTGACTGCGCAGGAACAGGTTGTCACTGGTATGTGATTACAGCTTTGTTTGGATTAGCTCAGGAGTTAAGCATTTGATTTATAATCTATAGGTCCTGGGTTCGAATCCCGCCATGTACCAATGTGTTTTCGATTTACATATGTACATTTATCCAATGTTCTTAGGGTGAAGGAAAACTTCGTTATGTAACCTGTAAATATCTGAAGAAGAAATTCAAAGATATATGTGAAGTCGACCCGCACTGGGTTATGGTTGACTATGGCCTAGTCACTAACTTAGGGTACACTCCGGTGAGGACATGAGCTGATGATGATATAGATTTTTTTAGTCAAATAATCAAATAAATATTTGATTATAATTTGACATTATTGTTGTTATTGTTAATGCTTTGCTATTATTATTTGATGTTTCAGCATATCCAGATGTAATTGTGCGACCTTTGAATGAAGATTGGGAGTTTATTGTCATCGCGTGCGACGGCATTTGGGAGGTCCTGTCAAATGATGTGAGTTTGTCGAATTTACATTTTATTATTATTCGAAAACTAGTTGTCGCCCGCGACTACTTCCGCACGAAACATTTTGTTTAGAAACCGTTTATGTGGGAAACATAAAATGGCTGTTTTTAGCTTTTTCCTGGCAATTATTCGAATTTTTCTCACATTTTAAACCTACCCTAGAATTCCATAAATCCGTTCAGCCGTTCTCGAGTTTTAGCGAGACTAACGAACAGCAATTGATTTTTATATATAGAAATAATAATTTCATTGTTTTCAAAAATAATTTCTTTATTTATCAATTAAATATATTTTTTTTATTTTTACATAAATTTATTTGTCAGTCTTTTTTTATTATTATTTGTCGTGATCAGGAAGTGATATCATTCTGCCGTGCTCGTCTGCTGAGCGGGTGGCAGCCGGCGGCGGTGTGCGAGGCGCTGATGCAGCGCTGCCTCGCCCCCAACTGCGCGACCGGCGGCCTCGGCTGCGACAACATGACTGTGCTCATCATCTGTCTCCTACCCTTCCCCAGGATAGATGCTATTGTAAGTTGACTACTCTTCCGCTTGGATCAAAAGTACCTGGCTTCTTTTGGCTCATCCAAGAATTTGGTGGTCATTTTTTTTAATCGACTTCAAAAAAGTCAATTTGTCTGTTTTTTTAAGTTGGTTTGTATTTTCTTAAAATTTTTGTTAAGTTAAAGTATCAGATTATCTCGTTTTGGATTCGACGAATTATTCAAAGAAGTCAGGTATTTCAAAAAGCTTAGTAATTAATGTCTTTCATACTGAAGCATGTTTTTTTTGCATGAATTTGCTTACATATTGCTTTTGTGTGCATGAAACAACGTAGTTTAAATTCTTTTTTTCGAATTTTTATTAATTAGAAAAATAAAAAAAAGAATTATTTTACAATTAGGATAAATATTAATTAATAGTGATAAAAAATATTATTAGACATCTATAGTTAAAAATCAAACCTCTTTGCGGAGTGTATATAAATATAATTATAATTTTGCAGTCCGCTTATAGCTGTTTCGAGTCGTCTCGGCCTAGCCAAGTCTGGATGATGTCGCCGCGACGATTCTGTTAATTAATACATATTTATATTATTAAGCTATAGTCACACTGTTTTATGACATCCATATTTGGGGGTAGTTGGAAAAAATGTGTGAAAAATTTAAAACAAGGATCTGAAAAATTGGGTAAAAATAACGAAAATTATTTTGTAAAAGTTCTTTTAAGAAATATTGCGGCATAAAAACGACAGGCGCTGTTTTATTTATTATTTTCATTATTACCCTAGGAAATTATTCGTTGTGGTTATTTTACCATAGATAGTGTGATTATGGCCTAATTGGTACATACAAATTATTCCCCTGTGAACTGTGATAGTGCGTCCAAAGACTTATTAAAGCCGATTGCACACTGCGATATAAGAAAATTTGCATGTGTTTTCAAATTTTCGTAGTATTTTAATAAGTGGCTTTTGAACTGCAATTTATTGCTTTCTTTACATCTAATTTGGAAATTATAGTTCCACAAACTTATTTGGCTTAAGGGTTACTTACGAATATATAGATAATATAATAACAAGACAAGATAATAACGAGCCAGCTACAGTCTGACAACGACATTTTGACACTTTTTTGATACTGACAGTCGTCCTATATAATCTATATTTTAATTTCATCTTTGTCCAGATAAGTTTGTTGCACTATATTATAATTTAATGTTGCCTTATATCTATGTCTATAATACGTTTTTTTTCTTTTTTTTCAATAAATATTAGCACATTTTTTTGTAAACTTATTAATATTTCTTTTACCATTCCAACTAAGCTCCAGGCTTGTATTTGGATATGGTTTATGACAATAGTCGAATGGCGGGATTCGAACTCCCGTCCTCGTGATTGGAAATCCGTACCCATAACCATTAGGCTATTGACGCTTTAAATTTTTAGTGCAATCGGCTTTATTTAAATATCGTTTAAAATGTTAAATTATTTTTTTTTTTTATATTTGTGAATATATTTTGATGAAATTAATATTTCTTAGTATTGTAATTTTGGATATATGGTTAGTAAAAATATTGAAATTGAATAAATTAATAAAAGTGAAAGTGCCATATTGAGATTTTTTAAAGAATTAAAAGATTTCATATTTAAAAAAAATATAGGCTTATTTTAAAATTGATTTTAAAATTTACTATTATTTTTTAATAATAGAATTATGAAAATGAAACTATTTTATCGTTAAAAAATAGTAAAAATTGTTAAAGTGAAATTTGACAAAATTTTTTGTCATTCAAAAAAAAATTTTTTTTTCAATTATTAAAAGTTTTGGTTATGGATCAAAAATAATGTTTTATTGGACTTATATATTTCTAAAGCTTTGAATTATGTATTATATATGCTATATAATAAAATTAATATATATTTTTTCTATTTTCTTTATGTCCATTGCATGTTTTTGACTGTTTTGTTGCATTGTACGGCTTTGGTTTGTTTTTGTACTCACTATGTGTTCGCATGCAAATAAATTATATACAAAGTATATTGCTTTTTATTTACTTTTCTATTTTATTAATCTTACTAATATAAATGTGATTTTTTTTAAATTAAAATAGCAGATTTTTTTTGTAAATTTACTAATATTTCTTTTTCATTCCAGCTAAGCTCTAGACTTGTGCTAGGATATGGTTCACGACAATAGTCGAATGGCGGGATTCGAACCCCCGACCTCGTGATCGGAAATTACCCTTAACCATTAGGCTATTGACGCTTATTGACGATTATGTTTACATGGATGGATGTTTGTTTTGAAGATATCTCTAGAACGGTTGCATGGATTTGGATGATATTTGACATAGATGTTGAACATAGTCTGGAAGAGCACACAGGCGACTAATTATGTTCTTTTTTAATTTCGTGTGGATGGAGATGCGGGCGACCGCTAGTTATTAGTAAAATAATGGGATATTTTTTCAATGTAAACTATTAAGAAATTAAAAAAAAACTCGTTAAGGTTATAGTCTACTGACCTTATATAGATCAGATTTTAAGAAAGTTAGTTTAAAATTTACTGTCTTTTATAAGAAAAATGTGTTTGTTTCCCCTTCATTTTACTGTCATAACATTTTATAATGGTAAAATTTTTTGTTTATAGTACAAATTCTACCGAAATTTACTACCATTTTGGTAGTTTTAAAGTTCGAAATTGATTTTTTCAATGGCATTACAGGAGAACGTACCAGCTGATCAACTTCTAAATAATAAGTTTGTGACAAACGAAGATTTGCTTTACATGGAAGATGAAGAAGATCTCAAATGAAAAATCACATGTTTTCATTGTATATGTATGTAAATATTATAATTAGCAAAGGCTTTGAAAGTCAAAGGTTTAGAAATGTTTTAAAATGGGGAGGTAGATGAAAAAAAGTTCCTGAAGACAGTGATTTAGTTCTGTATGTTATGATTTCTTAAACCCAATTTCCTCTGTGGCTGTATGTCTAAAGCCTTATTTTCACTGGTGCAATAATTACGATACAGTTATTTGACCGGGTCACGTCACAATCAAATATGATAGCTCACTAGCGCCCTCCTGGTAATGACAAAAAGGTGTCTCTCCGGGCCAGATAACCTTGTTTTACTACATGTAACTAGCTTACGAGGGGAAATAGATTATTAGTTATGTTTGTATATTGTGTGGTTTTTAACCGTTTTTTTTTGGCTAAAAAATACTACAGTAAGATAAGACGAGTTGTCATTCTATTACTTTAAAAAAAAATGGCAATTTTTTTGTTAGAATTCCAGCACTGGCAATACACGTGTGTTTCTAGTTTTAACAAAGCAATAAAATCTTATATTATTTTAAAAAGGGTAAAATATTTTATAATTTTTTTATTATTAATCTATACTCAATTTTTTTCTACTATTATCATTTTTTTTTTGGAAGATTTATTTTTTAAATATTTTTATAGATATTTTACATGTTGTTATTGTTTTTCTTTAAATGTCGTTTTTTAAATCGCATTTACTTATTTGTTTTTTCTACATTTTCCATTTTATTGATTTCTGTATTGAAATGTATGTTAATATTTTATATTTTATTTCGTTTTAAATAAACAAGGGAAGAGAATGACACAGAAAATATGACACAACTAAAGAATCTATGCCAATAATCAGTCACAATAGTTAAAAAAATTCTTCTTCTTCTTTCCCCTGCTATTTCAGACAAGACAAGAATTTTTTTAAATTTATTACCAGCGTGTACATTTTAAAACATATTGAAATCAAGATATTTTGTTTTTAACCTGTAATTGATAAATAAAAATAAATTAAGAAAGAGGTTTTATACCCCTGATTTTCTTTAAGGCACTAAGTAGGTCATATATATTTTTTTATATTTTTTTTTTTAATTTCTGTACGGTTTTTTTTAATCTTTTTTTTATAATTCAGCGTAAATTTTTACTTATTTTAGAGTCTGTATGTACTTTATATTTATCAAATTTCAAAATAATTTTTTGCACATCTCCGAATGTTTACTATGATTATTTTGGATTGCATTCCAATTAAAATTAAGAAGATAAAAGAAGAGAAGAGAACAGAAAAGAACTTTAGAGAGGAACAGTTATAACAGGAGATATTAGAAACGAGAGATCGAGCAGTTTTAAAGTCGCACAGGTGATCTGATTTCTTATTATGGATGCATGTTTGGAGGTATCTTTAGAACGGATCAACGGATCGCTATAAAATTTGGCATATAGAACATAGTCTGGAAGAATACATTGACTGTTAAGTGTGCAATTTCGCGCGCAAAATTAAAAAAAAAATTACGCGCGAAATTGGAAAGAAGGAGGAATAATAATAAGATATTTAATTAGTCTGGAACTAAAGTGGTCTATTCTCCCTCTCTGTTCTATATTCTTCTGGAACTGATTCTTCTGTTAGGATTACTCTTTGCTTAGATAAAATTATTTTATTGGAACAAAAGATGCATAGAGCTGAATCTAGATTTTTAAATCGATATAAATGTTAGAAATGCAACGAATTTATGTAATAGATTGTGACTAAATGTGTGTTTTAGATGTTTTTGCGATTTTGTAAATGTTTTTTTAGTAGAAAAAAAAAAGAAACAAAATCGTCGATTTCGTGCCTTTACGTCTGTAGAATAGAATAAAAATTATGAGTAATTTCTCTTTGTAAATTAATATTTGTAATTAAATTAGAGACTAAAAATATATAAAAAAATTTAATGGCATTTTTAAAAACTTAAGGTGTTAAGTTTCTTAATCACGGGTTTCCATATTTTTAATTTTCATAATTTAAACTGCCGTTTTGTAGCTTTTTGTGTGTGCTTTTGTAGTCAAATAAACAAGGAAAATATTTAAATTATTGCGTAAATTAAATAACATATCCTAAATCAGAGTATACAAGCTTACCTTAACACTTTAAATGCCATTAAGATATTTACGGAGGCAATGAAAGTATTAAAATGTGTCGATAAATCAATCAAAGAAACTACAATTTTGATGACATTTAAGGGAGGTCTAACCGTGGGTTTCTTAGACCAAAATACTCGTTTAATACATATTGTTATCTCTGCTTTATGAAATCTTTGTCCATGGGCGTCGTTGAACACTTCGGAGTTCCTGCTGCTCGTTTACCCCCTTCGGTTATAAAAAAAGATAATAAAAGGGGTGACGAAATGATTTTGGTCTTAGAAACCCACGGTAAATACAACATGCATGAATGTATAGATATTTATATCATAAATATGCAATCTGTGTAAATATTTGGAAAATATGTTTTGAAAAAAAAATATAGGGCAATTTGTTACATTGGAATTTAAATACCGTACAGAAATACATGTATGTATATGTAAGTATATAATCCTTCATTTAGCATATTAATAATGTTGTGACATATATGTAAATTCACTAGTCAAGATACTATGGGTTTCTGAGACTTAAATCTGTATAAAAAGTCCTCTGCCTCACTATCTTCAACAAAGAGATAAAAATATGTTTTAAAAGGAGATTTTAGGCTCAGAAACCTAAGGTTAGTCGTGTTAGTTGTATGTGTACAGTTATAATATATTGTGTTGGAATAAATGGTGTTTTTTATTTTGTCTATCAACTACAGTACTGATACAAAAGTTCGTTCCAAGGTCATTATAAATTAGTATGTTTCCAATTATTAAGAAGAAAATAATAAAAATATAAACTCTAAATAATTATAAATACGTAACGAATCACTTACACATTAGACTTCAACCTAACCTATAAAACAAACCTTAAAAACTTAACCTCAAAAAGAAAATTAATGACCCCGCGCCATGTTGTGACGTCATAGGAGTCAACTGTCAAAAATAGTCAATCGTAGTTGTTAACCTTTTGACAACTGTCTTACATTATGATTTTTTTCATGTTATCAAGTGACCTCTAATAAGTCCGTAATAGGAAAAGTTTTTAACTTTAACGCTATTCTAATTCCGTGGCATTTACTATATTGATAATACCAAATAAAATATTCGATTAAACCTTAAATCTTACTAATATTAAAAATGCGAGTGTTTAGATGGATGGATGTTTGTTTGATAGTATCGCCAGAACGGCACGAATATCGCTGAAATTTGGCACATATTATTGTTTTTAATACCTAATATGAACGAAGTCGCGAGCGACAGCTAGTTAATTCATAAATATAAAAATAGTTATAAATTTTATTTTTATTATAAAACAAGCTTTCGCCCTCTACATTAATTGTAAGAGAAAAATAGATATAGACAAACACTGGATAAGGCAACTATTATGCACAATGTGATATTGACAAAGTTTTTAGTTTACGAGTTATAAAATTTGCAATAAAATCAACTGATTTCCGTTTATTTTATTAACTCCGATTGAATTTTATGTTGACCACAAAATCGATTTTTATTTGAAAAAGCGTTAATACACAGTGACTGGAGGTTTTATAACACTGGAACTCAATCGTCGTCAACTAAGATACCCTTAGTGTAGATTTCATATCAGAAAGCTGTGCTGAGTAGCTGTTTAAGCAACCATTAATCAAACTTGAACACACCAGTTGACCTCTAACATGTTTAAGTTTCTTGTAAGCAAATTTATTTTCAACAAACGTCAATCCTGATTTACACAACATTGTGGGTAGTTTTAAAAATAACACAATAACTCAATTAGGCGCGTAAAAATAACCGTGTATTTTCAACATGTATGTTTTCTGTTCGCCCTTTGAATGTCTGAACGGACTTAAGTTGATTTGTAATATAAACACACGAAAAAAATCATCGAATTACAGCTTTGTCCAGTTTCGTTCGGTCCGAGGCTAACCACCCTTAGTAATAGGATTTCTAGGGGGTGCGGGGAGTAAGTATAAAAAGCAGCGTAGGGTGGTTTTGGCGCAGGAGTGGCGTCCAGCCAGCCTGAGTGTTCGTTACTTGTAAGTAAACGTTGTTTTTTTTTTAACTTAAAAAAAAATCTCGAAAAAAACGTGTTTAAATAGTGGCCAAATTTAATACTGAAGCGACAAGTATATTTTTAGTAGTGATCGTAAAATGTTCGAAGTTCGATTATTTTTTTTTTATCATAAGGTGGCAAACGAGCGAGCGGCCACCTGAAATCGCTGATATAGCGAAGTGACCGTTGCCCATAGACATACGCAATTGCATATGGGTTATTCCCTTTCCATGCATACTCTCATCCGGAAAGTCCACTTCCACTTCCCATTCCCTCCTTATAAGAAAACCACCCGGAAGGGAAAGAGGACTAAATTAGGCCTCCGGGACGCACACTCATCGGACTGCACGGAATTGCTTCCATTTGACGCCTGTCTTCATTTTTGAATCCATGATTTTTTTTATTAAAAACACTTTTATGCATTATTACAGTGTAAAATTCACATTCATCATTTCGGGCAATTTTCTTAAAAAGGTGTACAAAGGAACAAAGTTTTCGTGAAAAAATAATCGTTAAGTCGTAAATAAAATTGTAGTATCTCGAACTTTAAATTTTCTCCGTTAAATAATTATATTTCAATTTCCGATATAGCTTGTCTTTTGCATTTAGTTTATTACGCGGGGACCGTTGATATTAAATTTTGAAAACTGCAACGGATTTAATTATTATTTAATTATTATTAGAAAGAATTAAAAGACTCTATAATGTTTCAAATTATAAATAATTCTAAACTGTAATTAACCCCATAAATATTTTATATCGGACAAATTAACTTTTCTTGAAGTTAAATGTCGATTTATACCATACTAGCTATCAATCGTGACTCCGTCTGCGCGAAATTAAAAAAAAACTTAATTAGTAGTCTGTGTTCTTCCAGCCTAAGTTCTATATGTATGCCAAATTTCATCGAGATCAGTTCAAGCGTCCTGGAGATACTTTCAAACAAACATCCATCCATCCATCTAAACATTCGCATTTATAATATTAGTAAGGAGTAAGTTTACCTTTAGTTAGTTAGTTAAGCCAAATTTCATTTCAATTGAATTACATATTTGGTTATTGAACTTTCGCTATATCTGGGTTAGGGTCGATGCTTACAGATTATCGCGATTAACTATGGCTTCCGAACTCACGTGTGACATATCACTTGTGTTGATACAGTCAAGGATTTTTATTTCCTATCCATTTCGGAGTTTTCATTTTACACTGACAATGCAATTGGATGAAATCTTATAGCTATGCAGTTATTTATTTATATATGTACATATTCTATACAATATATGAGGCTGTAAAAATCCAGTGTAAAATCTAGTAATATGGCCTATCTTTCTTATTGTGTACTTTTCTGTTATTACCTTTAGTTCTGATAAGTTATTTTAGTATGTATTCTTTTTGTGTGCCAAAATTACGACAAGCAACAACATAATTAACGCCAGTAACCCAGTGAGGTAGGCAGACAACGGAGCTCTATTTGACGCGGTTCTGACACACCTCGCGTTTCTACATTCATAAATCTACGCATACATTTTGATATTAACAAATAGTTAAAGTAATTTGAATGATGTGAAATTAAAATACGTCTATGTGTGAATGTTTTGACAATGGAAACTCATCGTAAGTTACTTTCTTTGCAGACATCATAACACAACAAACCATAGACTAGAATTCTACCGACATACTTATTAACAGTTAGACTAGTTGAAATCTACCACAATCATGACGGAGAAAGGGGACTTGGAAAGCGTAAGCATGATTTATCCTGTTTTTATTTCATTTATTTCAAAGAAATTAAAAAGAGAAAGAAAGATTAAGTACGCTACTGTTTATATTCTAGTTAAAAAAAATATTATAATAGTATACTTACCGTAGGTTTCTGAGACCAAAAAATTCCGATTAAAACAATTTTTTATATTTGTTTTGTCAAAGATAATAACAGCGATGACAATATGTTTTATAAGGAGATTTTGGATTCAGAAACCTACGGTTAATAAGTCATCTACACCCGTCACTGTCTTTTGAAATGTACAGGAAAATTTTTCAGCATCAAGCAACGAAAAGTCCGCAAAAAATCAAACAAATGAGTAAAAAAGATATTATTCCAGGGTGACCCGGATTCAGAATGTACGAAGCAACCAATGGACCTGCCAGTTCTACCTAAATCACTAACATTCGAAGAGAAGAAATATCTCTTAGCAGTTGAACGTGGAGATATGGCTAATGTACGAAGGTTAGTTATATAAATGAATCTTTGGTTTCTGAGACCAAAAATAGATAAAATATATTGTTATACCTGTCTTGGCAAAAATAATGAGAGGGATCAGGAATGTTGGTCTCGGAAACCGACGATAAAATGACGAACGACGACTATCTAGTTAAGAAATCTGGTTTGATTCGCCCACATTACAATTGGCATTTGCTAATAAAAATATTGCGAATTTGTAGGAAAACTATTCTTTGTTTCTAGGATACTTCAAAAAGCACATCGTCGTAACAACGTAGATATGAACTGCGTAGACGCGTTAGGTCGAGGTGCACTTACTCTGGCTATAGATGGAGAGAATCTGGAGATGGTTGAACTCCTTATAGTAATGGGAGTGGATACCAAGGATGCATTGCTTCAGGCTATCAATGCAGAATTCGTCGAGGCTGTTGAACTGCTGTTGGAACATGAAGAGTTGATACATAAAGTTGGAGAGTCTTATGTAAGTAACCTTTTAATCGTATTATTTGAAAGATAATTTGATAACTGAGGTAAGTAATTTTATATGTTCAGAGTTGGCAGAAAGTAGATCCAAACACAGCGATGTTTACACGGGACATAACACCATTGGTACTGGCCGCGCATAAGAACAACTATGAGATAATCAAACTGCTGCTGGATCGTGGCGCCACGCTGCCAGACCCTCATGACATCAGGTAAATTATAATAGAAAATGTACCAAAACCAACCAACTAGCTACCTGAAGTTAGTGGACTACTACTTATAAAAACAAACGCTATTTTTATTTTTAGTCTTGTATTTTTTATAGTAGAAATCTTTTTATAAGGAAAATAGATAGAAAATATACCTGGTTAGTTAACAATTTTGCTTCCTAAGACGAAATCTTCAAATATTGTTCCATATATGTGAATTCTGCGAGGTTATAGGATTAGTCTACTGTGGATGTCTACTACTATCTCAGTTACTTACTACAAGTCTAACTTAATTGTTTTTCTCACAAGGTGCGGTTGTGATGACTGCATTCGTGATTCAACCGAGGACTCTCTACGACACTCGTTGGCCCGACTCAATGAGTACCGAGCGCTTGCCTCGCCCTCGCTCATCGCGTTATCTTCTACTGATCCAATTCTTACCGCTTTTGAATTATCCTGGGAACTAAGGAACTTGGCTTTTGCTGAACAGGTATGATGTAGTTTTGCATATCACAGAACGAAATATTTTGAAACATCTGTATCTTCTCCTTTTTGATTTCCTACTTACGTAGATTTGAGTACTCTTATATATCCTTATATCAGCTTAAGTGATATATTCAATTCCTATTAATAGCATTCACCTATCTTTTATATTTATCTACTATCCTATTTCCTACAAGACAGCTGGCAACTGAATATTATTCTATTTTGACAGACCGCCAGGTTCCATCCACACCACCTGGATGGCTGACGTTCCACAACGGTGCGATTCTCGCGCAATTTCTTGCCTCGCACAGTCGCGTTGTGGAACGGTCTGTCCTCGGCGGTATTTCCAAACCAATACGACTTAGGAACCTTCAAGAAGCGAGCATACCATTTCCTTATAGGCCGTCAACGCATCTACAGTTCCTCTGGTGTTGCAGATGTCCATGGGTGTCGTTGATCACCTCGGTGTTCCCGCCGCTCGTTTGCCCCCCTTCTCTTATAAAAAAAATATTACATTAGAAACTGAAATCAATCTGTATGTATGTTAACTCTCATTGATATTTATTAGGAAAGTAAAGCAGAGTACCTAGAGCTACGTCGTCAGGTACAGAAATTTGCAGTAGATCTGCTGGACCAGTCGCGCAGCTCACAGGAGCTGGCCATCATCCTCAATCACGATCAGGACGAAACCCCCTTCAATGAAGGAGAGCATATGAAGCTAGCGAGACTAGAACTGGCGATTAATTTCAAGCAAAAAAAGGTAGAGTAAAGATTTTTTTAAAGACAAAAGACTTATACAAAAACCATATGTGGTAAATCTAGAAATACCCTCATAAGAAGGTTGAGAGGAGATCATAAGATATTTGATACTTAACATATTTATGGTACTTTGGATGGAAATTGCATGATAGGAACCTAATTAATAGAGACCAATTGTACATTAAGATTGAGTTTTGTCACAGTAACAATCGAATTTTAATGATGACGGTTGTAGAGATATCAATCTACTATATATTTTACAATTTTCTTTTCACTTAATAAAAATAATCTTTACAGTTCGTAGCACATCCAAATATCCAACAACTACTGGCTTCTATCTGGTACGATGGTGTACCAGGTTTCCGTCGCAAATCGGCGCTGGAAAAGATCATGATAATATTCCGTGTCGCTTTACTCTTCCCATTCTATTGCTGTCTCTACATGATCGCTCCAAACTGCGAGACTGGCAAGCTCATGAGGAAACCATTTATGAAGTTCTTGATACATGCCTCCAGTTATTTATTCTTTCTCTGTGAGTATACAAATGGGTATTTTTAGATTATTTATTGTTAAATTCAAAATATAATTTTCAATAAGAACGCGAACGTATGATAGGAAACTTAGTTATTTTGTCACCAAGTTTTATTTTCCATCATCAGTCTTAAACGAGTTTCTTATTTTTTTATATAATACAAGTAGTCTTACTAATATTATAAATCCGAATGTTGATATGTATGGATGGATGTTTGTTTAAAGATATCTTCAGAACGGCTGCATGGATCTCACTGTAATTTGGCACAGATGTAGAACATAGTCTGGACGAACAAATAGCCTCCTTATGTTGTTTAAATCCATTCAGACGGTGTCGGTAGAAACAGCTAGTTTAGATATATATGTGCAAATTAATATTTTGATTTAAAGTTTAATTTCTTTTGATTTTTTTATAGTGATCCTAATACTGGTGTCGCAACGTGCAGAAGTTCAGTTAATACAAGTCTTTGGATCTGAGGAGATGTTGAAGGATCTAGAGAAAGAAATGTTAAAGCAAAGAGGAAATGCTCCATCATTCCTAGAGGTCCTTGTGTTTATATATGTTTTAGGTAAGTTTAAAATAATTAAAAAGACAAATTAACACAATTCTACGATACAATTGCAAATCTTAATATGTATTAATCACCCTTAACTTAGGGTAGGCTCTGAGCCCCTCGGTGGGGACATATAGTGAGCTGATGATGATGATGATGATGAATATGTATTTTATTTTATTTTTCTGGTTACAAAATCACAATTGTTTTTTCATGATACCAGGTTTCATCTGGGAAGAAACTCAGGAAATCTATGTTGAAGGTATCCGTTCATATCTTAGAAATATGTGGAACTTCATAGATTTTACTAGAAATTCCCTCTACGTCGCCGTAGCACTGCTACGAATAGTTGCTTACATCCAGCAGACGGCAGAAATAGAAAGAGATCCACAGACCAAGTTTATACCAAGAGAGCATTGGGATGCTTATGATCCACAATTAATAGCTGAAGGATTGTTTGCTGCAGCGAATATTTTCAGGTTAGTGGGAAAGCTGTGGGTTTTCAAACTAAATTCAAATTAAATAATTTTATTTGATGGTGACCTTGACCTAAATATTTCATTCAGGAATATTAAAAACGAAGTTCTTAGGTACCTTGTAACCTTTATTAGTTCAATATATTGAGTATACTTTCAAGTTTTCTGCCGTCATTAAGTGGTCTGCCTTAATGTAAATTTGCATCATAAATCTACATTCTCTGTGTATCTAATTTCTAACTATAACTGTTATGTTTATTTTTCCTAGTGCATTGAAACTGGTCCATTTGTTCTCCATCAACCCTCACTTGGGCCCGCTGCAGATCTCTCTCGGGCGTATGGTCATCGATATTGTTAAGTTCTTCTTCATCTACACCCTTGTGCTCTTCGCGTTTGCTTGCGGTAAGTTCAATTTTAAGGGCAGACATACACGGACTGTTTTAAATAGTCGCTACTAAGTTTGAAGCGGTCAGAATACTACCGGCAGCAGTTTACCAGCATTTAAACTTTAGAACGTACAGAGTAGTCAACTATTTATGACTTAATGACGACCACTTGAATTGTCAATACTGACTGTTTAAAACAGTTCGTCTATGTCGGCCATTACCTTTATACAGCGCCCATTACATAAATAATATTGTAACAATCACTATCAGTCGCCCGCGATTCCGTCCTCGCGGAATTAAAAAAAAACTATTGGTGGCAACCTTATATAGACTAAAGCTTTCCTCTATAAATGGACTGTCCAACAAAAAAAGAATTTTCAAATCGGACTAGTAGTTCCTGAGATTAACGCGTTTAATCAAACAAACAAACAAACTGTTCTAATACTACTATAACCAAATTACTATATATTTATGAGTCCGTATGACATTTATTTTATTACCGGAAAGTAAATTAGGATTCATATAAATTTTAATTCGATATGTGAAGGTCTGAATCAATTGCTATGGTACTTTGCTGAGCTGGAGAAACAGAAATGTTACGTGCTCCCTGGCGGTCTTCCGGACTGGGATAACGCGGGGGATTCTTGCATGAAATGGAGGAGTTTCGGGAAGTGAGTCGTGATGCTGTAGTTGCTAGTTGTTTTAGCTAAAAGGTTAGCTTCATTTGTTTTTCAAGCATAGAAAATGGGTGTTAAATTGTTATCCTAAATAAATAAAAATAGAAATATTGAATAGTATTTTTTTTACAGATGTGATGTCAGGAAAGTAATTTATATTTTTCAACGTATTCTAATTTTGTTTCTAAAGTAAACTAAAGTTAGCCTAATTTTACAACTAGTAGTTGCCCATTGGTCATTTAGTTTTAATTTCACGTATATTCGTTCAAGTAATTTCCTTGAAAAGGGGTACAAACGCTTTATTAATATAACGATTCTTATCATAAGTAGTAATAAAACTATTTCTATCCTTCAAAGAGTTTAGAAATGAATTTTATTCATTGAACTGTCACGTCTTTGCGCAAGTACTGTTTGGTTTCTATGGTAACAAACAAAATTTTGTCGATTATTGACAAAAGTCTCATTTCATAGGAACACTTGTATAATTTTTGTAGAAATTTTAGCGTTTTAATTTTAATACAATGACTGAAACTCAATTCGGAGTTCGCCATGTTATTGGTGCGCCGGTGGCAACGACGAGGCTTGCTGAACAAAATATAGTGTGTATTCCACCACGCAGTGCTAAATTTACTCTAGAAGAATGGAAGATGAGCAACGAACAACGCTGCAGGAACACAGAAGATCAGCAGCAGCTCGCAGACAGGATTTTGGGCGAGTCGGAGAGAATCCGAGAAGAAACCGCCGAGCGCGCTGCCATCATGAAAGCGACTACTGACAGACGAATCGAAGAACGAATCGGTGACGTCGAATTCATAAAGAAGGAACTTGAAATACAAAGAAAGGAGATATGCCTAGAATTGGAAGCCCTAAGTATGTACAAGACAAGGCTCCAAGACTGCTTAGCTTCCTTACAAATCAATGCATTAACGATCTGTCGAAAATGTCTTATATTAAGAGATGGAAGAATCGGCATCGATTTGGTCGTAGATGATGTAGAACATGCCTTGCAACAGGAAATAACAGCCATTCTTGGAGGGCAGAGTTTATTAAAACGTACTCTTGAACAACTAAATGAACAAATGCGACGATTAAGGTCCACTCGATATCTTCTTGACCGTGACCTTCAATACAAACAAGGAGCAATAGATTCAGATAGAGGCTCGTTATCTTTGAAGCCTACTGACCTATGTCTTTCTGTTTATGAAGGATATGCAAATTTAGATCCCGCTAGTATATCTGCAGAAGAATACAATGCGGTGTCAAATAAAAATATACAACAAGCAGCAAGGGAAGTAACCAGTGCGCGACCGATAAGAGTTTTCATTGACACTTTATTAAATCAAGTGATCGATGACCTCTGGACAGCATTCAATAAATGTAACCACGAATTTAATGAGCGCATAAAACAAACGAAAATCGCTAAAGAAAAACTAGAAGATATGCATAGAGAGACAACTGAAAAGATATCGAAAATGCAAAATAATATATTACAATTGCAAAAAGCTTTATCTGATAAAGAGGGGAATGTTGGTTTAGCGCATACAAGACTTGGAAGACGTGCGCAAAGAATCAGCGCTGAATTAGTCAGAGATCCTCCGGGACAATCGTTGTATTACGAATGTGAAATGTTGAGATACAGCGTGGAACAACTCCAACAAATGCTGCAAGAAGCAACCGCTTCACTTCGTTACCTTTTACAGACGCAACTTCAATTAGAAGAAGACATAAATGTAAAGATGAATACGTTGAAGATCGATGAAGTCGACTGCATGACATTACGAGCGACCATGGATTATCATGCATATTAATTTACTGTTAAATTTGCAGATATTTAGTTCATTTTGCGTATAGAAACGTAGCACAACATGATTTTTGTAGTTAGTATACTATTTAGTAGAAATTTGTTAACTTTAATAGTGTGGATATTCAAAATAAATTCATTATCAAATATGCAATTGTTTCTCTTAGATATAAACCCTAAGTCTTTGCGATATCTTCGACAGTTGAATCTCTCTATTGAACGTCACTATAATTTAATACTATTGTGTCATTTCTTTGCAGTGTATTTGAAGCATCTCAGTCTCTCTTCTGGGCGTCTTTTGGTATGGTTGGTTTAGAGAACTTCGAGCTGGCTGGTATCAAGAGTTACACTAGATTCTGGGGCTTACTAATGTTTGGATCGTACTCCGTCATCAATGTCATCGTGCTGTTGAACCTCCTTATTGCTATGATGTCCAACTCTTATGCTATGATTGATGTGAGTTGTACTTGACTATACTTAAAGGCAAACTATTTGAGCATTTGCCTTCTATTGGACTCAATTGGACAAAGTGAGCGAAATACAGTGGTAGAGCCCGCTTTAACATCTTTGCACGAATTGGCCCGGTTCGCCCGGTGAAATACCACGACCACACAGAAGACAGGCGTGAAGTGAAAGCAATTCCGCGTTTCGTCTGATGAGTGTGCGTCCCGGAGGCCTAATTTAGTCCTCTTTCCCTTCGCACCTTTTTTCTTATAATAAAAGGATGGGAAGTGGAAGTGGACTTTCCGGATGAGAGGATGCATGGAAAGGGAATATATTTTCTTTCTGTGGATTCTCTCCTCCGTCGCTTAAAGGTAGGTAACGGTAAAGGTATGCAATTGCGTATGTCTATGGGCAACGGTCACTTCGCTATATCGGATATTTCAGGTGGCCGCTCGCTCGTTTGCCACTTTATGATATAAACAAAAGAAATATAATTTGGTAATGCAAGTTGTATTTGTATTAAATATCGTTCTTCAATTTAATAGAATTTTATAATAGTTTTCGTGGTCACCATTGAATTAATTTGATTATCAATGCTTGCAGAAGCCTTCTAACATATGTAACCAATGCCAAGTACATGTTATTGTTTCAAGTCATTTTATAAATATGTATTGAAGATTTAACTTGTGAATATTATTAAAATTGTTTTTATATTCAAGCATTCAAACTTTACGTAAAGTTTTCTTATTACTTTCTCTTTTATATAGGAACATTCTGATGTTGAATGGAAGTTTGCACGAACGCGTTTGTGGATGAGTTATTTCGAAGAAGGGGCAACTCTGCCTCCTCCATTCAACATATTGCCAACTCCAAAGCTGTTTTGTAAGTTGTTGGGGCTCAGGAATAAGGATAAAATGAGAAATATGAAGATGAAAGTAAGTTGTTTCATTGTCTTATTAGTTGGCATTAACACAGAGTGTTGTGAATTTAATTAACAAATGACACCTCCAATCCCATCAATGACGTTGTAGTATCATCTATTGCATTCATTTAAATAGGATCAGAAAGAGATAGAATTAATGCGACCTTCAACTTTTTTAAATGTTAAAAATTCTTTTATTACAATTAAATTTTTTTTCATCGTATATTTCATTCATCTTAATAGGAACAGAAAGAGATAGATTTAGATTTACGGTACACAGCGGTAATGCGAGCTCTGGTCTGGCGGTACGTATCCGCAATGCATCGGAAAATGGATGATGAACCAGTTACAGAAGATGACATCAATGAACTGAAGGGAGACGTTTCATCATTGAGATATGAACTGCTAGAAGTATTCGAGAAGAATGGAATGGATGTCTCATTTACTGATAGGAAAGAGAAGAGTAAGTTTACTTCTGTAGTTAGAAAGATTTGTCGTGACATTTTCAACTTTTTTTGTGACTGTTTCCTAATAATTGCGCAAATGAAAAAAGGTTCTTACATAAAACGGTCGACAGTTGGGTAGTTGCTTAGTAGGAAAGAGGTTTAAGTCTGTACTCTTATGTTGGTAACTTTTAGCGGTTCTTGCAAAACGTATGAAGATCTGGGAGCGTCGTTTAATGAAGGACTTCCAAGTGGCACCAGTGGCTCCCGTGGATGATGAAGAGAAACCGGAGCATGAGACAGCGCTGTCCAGGTTCAGGAGGATCGCCAAGATGGCGGTAGCATCCACCAGTACCGCTATGTGGGATAGAACGTTAGCTGGGGCAGGGATTTCGTGAGTTATTTTAGTACTTTAGACGAGAATACAATGACTTACTTTAGAAACCAAGTGGAGGACATTACTTATTCCAAATCCTGATTTCATAATTTAACTAAAAATAAACTTTGCCTATTATACAAAGTTTTCGTGTCATGTCATTTTCTTTATGGTATACTAGCTGTTGCTCGCGACTCCGTCCGCGCGGAGTTAAAAAACTGAAAATGTGTTCTTCCAGACTATGTTCTACATCTGTGCCAAATTTCATATTCCGTTGAGCCGTTCCAGATATACCTTCAAACAAACATTCATCCATCCATCCATCTAACATTCGCAATTATAATATTAGTAAGATTGTTTAATTTTGGCCAGGACACAAATAGGTCGCTGCAGAACTAGAGAGTCGTTTAAGAACCAACAGAACCTTCAAAAAGCTATGGACGAAGCAAGAAAGCTCGTCATGAGATCACCTTTACCAGGTAAATAATAATAATGATTTTAAAATACAGGATGATCAAAAATAATTTAATAATTAAAAAAATATACCAGCAGGAAAATTACTTATTGAATTTGTTTTTATTTCTATTCTATAGAAGGTTCCCGTGTACCAACACCTATAGAGATGCCTTTACCATCTGGACATACATTATTGGAGCTAATCAAAGATATATCAACTGAAATAGGACAACCAGATTGTAATAAATCACCCTGGAAAAGCAATTGTAAGTGTTTTGTTCGTCTTATTAAAATGCAATAATAAAAAAAAACTATCGTAAGACAGGTTGCTATTTAGGAAATAAAAATAGACTGTAAATTAATTTTAAAATCAATACTTAAGAAATAACTTTAATTAGGTATATTTATGAACTTCCCAAATTAAATCTTGGTAAACTATAACTGCCTAATAAAAAAGAAAGAAAAAACACAAAGCGCAAACTTCTGGCGAAAGGAAGATACGCTAAGTACGCTTCGTTTTGCTCTATTTTCTTCTTTCTAGACTTTTACATGTTGCTTTTAGTAACTTAGTGTGGAAATAATTTAAAGTTTAATTTCCCAGGTGATGGTACAGCTGCAGAATTTCTAAGTCCCAGCATCGCACCGAGTAGAGCTGTATCCCCTAGTATGCGAGTTTTAAGTCCACCCACTAAAGTAAGTATACTATTATTAGACGTAAAAGATTCGTAAATATTGTTAAATGTAGTAGATAAGTTTAAAAATTAGGTATTTAAAATAAATTACTTTATAATTCTACTAAAACTAGTGGTTGTCTATTGGTTGCATCTAGTTGATCATCTTACTGTTATTATAAGATAGATATTTGTTAGAAGGTATCTGCAGAACCGTTGCATGGATCTCAATGAAATTTGGCATTGATGTATTATAGAACAACAGTGTCAACAGTGGTAGAGCCCGCTTTAACATCTTCGCACGAATCAGGCCGCCTCGCTCGGTGAAATACCACGACCACACAGAAGACAGGCGTCAAGTGGAAGCAATTCCGCGTTTCATCTGATGAGCGTGCGTCCCGGAGGCCTAATTTAGTCCTCTTTCCTTTCCCACCCTTTTTCTTATAAGGAAAGGATGGGAAGGGGAAGTGGACATTCCGGATGAGAGGATGCATGGAAAGGGAAGATATTTTCTTTCTGTGTATCCACTCCTCCGTAGATTAAAGGTAGGCAACGCATATGCAGTTGCGAATGTTTACGGGCAAACGTCGCTTAGCTATTTCAGCGATTTCAGGTGGCCGCTCGCTCGTTTGCCACCTTATGATATAAAAAAAAACATAGTCTGTAAAAACACATAGGCTACTAATTAAGATTTTTTTAGTTCAATTTTGTAATCATCCGTTCGAGTAATTAATGTTATTATAAACAGGTATCCAGGGCAACATCACCTAATCCAGTAGCCTTAAGTCCTCTGCCGCGATCTGTGTCTCCACGGTGCGATTCAGATTTTATAAAACCTAAGCAGGGTAAGAGATCTATATTCGTTTTTATTTGTCTGTATTGAGTAAACTCCGAAATTAGTGAAGCGATTTGAAAAATTCTTTCACTGTTGGAAAGTTGCACTATCCACTAGTGACATAAGCTACGAGTATATTTATGACAAGATTTTATTTTAAATTCTGCCCGACTGATGTTCCAACTACTACCATTGGTATAGTAATACAAAGCAGTTGAAGTCAGTATGTCAATAGATTTAGTTTGATAAATCTATATTATTTTCTATTTAAGTACACCAGAGCGTCGGTGGTTCAGGGGTTTTAGCACTTGACTTGTTATCTGCAGGTCCTGTGTTCGAATCCCGCTATGTACAAATGTGTTTTTCGATTTACATATGTACATTTATCCGACGTTGTTACGGTGAAGGAAAACATCGTGATGCTGCACATATCTGCGAAGAATGATATGTGTGAAGGCAACCAATCCGCACTGGGTTAGCGTGGTTGACTATGGGCTAATCACCCCTAGCTTATGGTAGGCACCAAGCCCCTCGGTGGGGACGTATAGTGAGCTGATGATGAAGTAGACTCAAAGTGTGGTAAATTACTAAGGTCAAATGTACACATTAAAATCACACTAAGCCTTTTTACATTATTGTGTTGTTATATTTTTGCAATATAATGATGAAGTAATTGTTAATTTTAGAATCGAATTCAATAATCGAGACGTCACAAACTTCCGAAGATATTCTGAGGGCCGCTAAGAAGAAAGCTCCCGACGCACCTAAATCACCTAACCATCAGGTTCGTTTGACTTGTAAATTCTATTAGCTTTTAGTATATTGCTACTTTAAAAGATTTTAATTCATATATACATCATTTTGAATACATACATTTGTTTTTATATAATAAGGTGGCAAACGAGCGAGCGGCCACCTGAAATCGCGGATATAGCGTAGTGACCGTTGCCCATAGACATACGCAATTGCATATGCGTTGCCTACCTTTAATCAACGGAGGAGAGGATGCACAGAAAAAAAAATATTTTCCCTTTCCATGCATCCTCTCATCCGGAAAGTCCACTTCCACTTTCCATCCTTTCCTTATAGGAAAAAGGGCGGGAAGGGAAAGAGGACTAAATAAGGCCTCCGGGACGCACACTCATCAGACGAAACGATGAATTGCTTCCACTTGACGCGTGTCTTCTGTGTGGTCGTGGTATTTCACCGGGCGAGCCGGGCCAACTCGTGCAAAGATGTTAAAGCGGGCTCTACCACTGTTAAATTAATATTTTGAACACTATAGAAATAATTCCTTTTATTTCTTGACAGGCTGATTTGGAAGTAAAAGAAATGTCTACCTTAGCGATCGCAAGACCAGTAGCGCCTGAGATTAAACCGGCAGAGGGCGCTTTACCACCACCGCCGACCAAACCTAAAGTAAGCAGTAACTTCAATTAAAAAAAAAGTTCATTTTATGTTAATTTAAATTCGGGAATCGATAAAGTATCAAATGTCTTATTCATCGGATAGAGATGTTTACTGAATTTATTTCTCAACGTTTTTAAGAAAAAGAATGTTTAATATTTTCCTAAGTAAAAAAATTGAAATCTTTAATGTTAATTTTATTTCAGGCTCCAATACCACCATCTTTGGAATTAGTACCAAGTTCACCATCTATAACATCAGTGGCGCCCCCAACGCCAAAGAAGAAAGCGTCTACGGAAAAAACTGCACCACCTCGTCCGGTCTCTCCAAGACCTCCTTCACCTCAGCCTGATGTTAATAAAACCGTAAGTAATAATAAATAGATAAGAAATATAAAAAGATAAGAAAGATATGAAAGTCAATAAAAATATAGTATTAGGTAGCAAACGAGTAACTTCTTAAATTCCTATAAAACATCGTATTTTCCTTTACGTCCCCTTTCTTGTTCAGTCATGGAATTTAGCGGAACTAAACTCACCCCATTCGTTCCTTATTAGAAATAGTTGGGAAGAGGATTTAAATTTGGCACACTTCACTGATATTTGACGCCTTATTTGGTATCAGGAGAGAAATTTAGGAACAAGCTTATATAGGGTTTTACCTACTAAAACCATCTCGGTTGCCATCCTCTGATGTCACTGACAGGGCTTTGGGATCTCCTGTGGAACGCTACAACGCTCCACTTGACGCCTGTCTTCTGGTCGTGGTATACTGGAGCTGGCCCAGTGCTGCAGCTAATGTTTCATACTCTACCCATGTTAATCTCGTTTCAGTGTCCTGCTTCACCACCAACACCAAAGCGACACTCTTCAACATCGAGCACGGAGCAACTGATACCGTCACCAGGATACAAGACATTGCGACCCATCAATAAAATTGACGAAGTCAAGACAATCAAGCGCCAAACAAAAACTGGATGGCTATAAATATTATGATTAATCAGATGTTTACACTACCGAAACAAGTGTACAAAACATTTCTTTTTTTTTGTTTTTTTTCAAAGATGACCTTGAAGCAGTAGAATCAGACGGATTAAGTTAATCTAAAATTGTGTTATTATATTTAATATTAGCAGTTGCTTCATATTTAGCGTAATTAAAGAGAATCTATTAATAAACGTAAGCCTATGTTATCCGGGAATAATGTACCTTCCCAACAGTAAGATATTTTTTTAAATCGGTTCAATAGTTAGAGCCTATTCTAAACAAACAAATCTTTCTTCTTTTTACTTTTAAGTTTAGTTGTTCCCATTTGGCTCAGTTTGCATGTACTCGTTATGTTACGTACAATGGTACCAGGATATCAGGAAGCAAAAGATAATAAGCGTGTAGTTTCAGAGCGTTAAATTCATATCTAATTTGAATGTCTGATAGACTGTGAATATCTTTCAATCTATGATATCCTAGTAATCTTACTACAAACATGTTTTTATTTTGCTTTGTTTTGCTATTTATTTAAACTGTATGTATTAAATATCAACTTTTGAAACTTATTTTATTAATTTTATTCGCACTAATAAATATAATTTGAAAATATCTTACAGTTACATAGAAAGTTGTGTTTAATTTTCCTTATGTTTGATTAAATTGTTTAACCAAATTTACTAATATGTGTTATTATTTTAAAATTATAAAAGTTAAATTTTATTTTTACCTACAATTCACCAGTTTGCGTACAACTTTAAAAAAGTTAAAAAAATAAACTTTCGTTTTGTTTATTTGGTACCGTCAGAAAAAATAGACGTTAAAATAATTAATTGTAGAGAAGAAAATTATTAAAATTCACAATATTAATTGAGTTAATTATTGTATTATAATTTCCTATTTACTTATCACATAAATTACAATATTTCATATTGTTGAATTTATTTCTTATGTTTTTATTTATAAAGTACCTCAGGGAATATACAGGGAACACAAGTGCATTCGTTTCGAAGTGATTCAATTGCGAACTTCAAAATTGTATGTACCTGATGCGCCATAATCACGTGACTTATCGAAAGTTAGTGTCAGTTTTTAGCGTACTACCCTACGCCTACCTAAGCTAGGGGTGACAAGGCCATAGCTAACTATGCTGGTCCAGTGCGGGTTAAAACACATAGCACAGTTTGGTCAAAATTCGTATTATTTAGGAACTCATAAAAACTAATACCAACATTGATTTTAATTATAGAAATATTTTTTTAAAGCTTGTTATGCAGACCTTACTTGTGGGAACTCTTTGTAGTAAAATATCTTTTTGTATGGATCTTTGTTATATTTAGTAAATTGATATTACACTTTTGTAGCTTCATATTGTCGAGTATCTGCGTAAAGGAGAGAAAAAGACAAGGGTTTTGTCACCTTTATATTTTCTATTATCATTTTTTGTGTGAACAAAGCGTTGTTACTTAAATGATGAGATATTTTACCATTAAATATATTTAGAATGAATCCGTAAAAAATGTTTTATGTAGCAAAAGAGAACAATGGCGATTCCATTCATTTTTAAACTCAGAAAACATTTTTTTATGAATAAAATTTTTCATGAATAAAAGAAATCATAAAAGGAACTCATTTTATTATAATCAAACATTTACAAACTATGTCAACAGATTATTAATTAAAAGAAATCATAAATTCAAACAAAAATTATATAAAAAATAAATTAATTTCAGCTATAATTTTAATACCAAGTCTATTAGGCAATAGTAAAATGAACAATTTAAATACTGTTCGTCATTTGCCTTTGCGTCCCTGATGTTGGCAATCATGCAAACATCTCTCTTTCACACCCATCGTTTGCATGTATGCTGTTTCACTCACTCTGCTACACGTGTGTTTTCCAAGCTAACTTCTGATAAGAAATATACGGAAATTAAATAATCTGATGTTAAACTTTCACAAATAAACAATTCTCATATAATCTACTAATAATATAATTTAATTATAATTGCAAAATAATGGCAGTTAACAATTATATATTTAAATCTAGCAACTTAATTTTGAAGCAGCGAGTATATTGCAGTGCAGATACCAACATTGTAAACTTAATATCTACTTAATACTATTTTAAAAGAAAGCATTAAGTATGCATTTCATTTATAAATATCATAAATTTAAACAAACGTATGAAAAATGGTTTGTATGTAAAATATAATCCAGTCGACTAAAAGCCAATTTGGAAATGATTTGAGACAAGAATGTGAAGTGAAAGTTAATATAATTGAGAAATTAATGAACATAAGTGCTTCCTAGACTGTATTTATGCAACTATTTTAATTTTTTAATAACATAAGGTGGCAAACGAGCTAGCGACCACCTGAAGTCGCTGAAATAGCGAAGTGACCGTTGCCCATAGACATTTAATTAACGGAGGACAGGATGCATATTATAAAGCTACGACAATAATTTCCAGACCCACGTGTTAATAAAAAGACTACAAACTAAGTTTTTGGTTGAGGAAAGAATCGAATTTGGCAAGGAGAAAGTTAAGTATGAGTGAGGAGTGGAACACTGTTAGGAGTAGGCCTAGGAAGAGATTGATGGATTGCGCGAAGGTGACATAATTTAGAAGGAAGTGACAGATCGTAGATAAATTGATATTTAGGACGGAACCCTGGTGCGCCAACCCTACGTGAGACAAGGACATGGATGATAGTGGCAAAAAGCCCAAGTGTAAAAGCAGAAAAATAAATTAATCTTAAAAGAATCGGTTAAGAATAGGCTATAAGTACTAGGAGAATATAAAACATTACATAAAGATGGTAGAATATAAAGAACACAGACATGAAAACAGGCTGTAAGTTATTAATCAGAATATCCTACATTCTTTATTGATTCATATTAATAACTATATTATAAACTACGGAAATAGAATAAATAAGTGGAAAGATAAATTAGTGATATTGACAATCAGTGGTGAAAATTAAAACATGGTTTCTGAGAGAACTAACATTCCTATTTAATGTCATATATTAGTTTTTCGTTAACCGCAAGTTTTATCAATTCTAAATTATGCTGAACCACGATAAGCTAGAGTTTAATCGCAATTATAATGGATTGGCCTTTCAGAAACCGAGCGTGAATACATTATAAGATCGGTTTTCATTATTAAGATACCAAAATAACACACAAATGTGTTTCAACCACACATGTGTGCGCGAAAGTTAATACTTTCAAATGTTTAAACAGTCATCGCCAGGTCTATATCTCAAAAATTCTGTATTTATCACAATTAGTAAACGTTTTAGCGAATTTCCAATCTATCAATAAATTTCAAATCTATTGTCGGTTTTTCGATGCATAGAATTATCTTTATAATAGTCTAATTATTGCTCTATTTTGTCTCACTAATAAGTCAATGTAATCCATGTCTGGTCTACAGCCATCCAGATACAATTTTTCCTGTTACTTTAGATCTTCCTTTGTCTCCCATTGGTGGTGGCTTACTGGCTGGTTTAGGAGCACTTGTCGATGGTTTAGGACTACTCTTTGGTTCCTCTGAAAAAACTACAGCAGGTTTAGATTCTGGTTTTTCCTTCGTTTTAGGTTCAGTTGATTCTGTTGGTTTGGATTCCGTTGATGTTTCTGGTTTTGATTCCGTAGTAGATGGCTTAGGCTCGGGTTTTGTATCTTTAGCTTGAGCTGCTAAAGCGGTTGCTGATAGAATTTGTTCTGCCGGTTCACTTTTACTTGGTGTTGGTTGTATTGGTTTTTGAAGATTAGAATCTTCTTCTTTCGTAATGTATAAACTCTTTGATGGACTTTCTCCTTCTGGTTCTTCTATTTGAATGATATGATCCTTTGATGCTTTCGAAGCTTTATCAGTAGTATCCTCTTTTGTAGTACTGGTTGCTGGTTTCTCTTCTTTTGTTTCTTTCGTTGCTTGTTTCGGTTGCTCTGTTGCAGCTTCTGTGTCTGAAATGATATTTTTGTTTGCATGTTTGTTTCTTGTAATTTTGCAGTACATCTACATCAAATATCTAAAGGACTGGTGAGCTGTTTGGGTATATCGTCAGGATAATGCTTTCTAAAGGTGTCAGTATTACTAACGTCAAATGAAATTTTAGTGTAAATTTTATTAGCTTTGGGAGATATGCGATATAAATTTAAATGTAGTTTAATTTAGATTACGACTTATACCTTTCTATTATAAAGGAATAGGTCTTTCGTAATACTAAAATGAAATAATTTCAACTACGACATTACCTTTCCTTTCGATGTCAGCCTCTACTTTAATTTCAGTGTGCTTTATATTTTCATCATCTGAAGTTTCTGGAATCGGTGTTCTCGCTCGGAATATTTTACCTGGTGATAATTTTGGTGTTGTAACAAACTTATTGTGACTGGCACAATACATGGAAGGTGTAGAATATGAAGAGAAAGTGTAATGCAACAGGTCTCAATTTTTTTTATTATGAAACCCATTTAGGAATAACCACCAAGTATTTGGGGAACCAAATACTTCGGTTTGATGGGATCCTAGATTTAGGTTTAATAATTATTTCTTGCCTTCTACAGAATTTGTTATACTCATCTTACGTCCGTTATTAATCATTTAAGGAAATTTTACTTTAGGATTTATACCTTTAATGCTTTTAAATAATGATCTGTAAATATATTCTGGAACATCCCAGAAAGACTTCGAGGAGCTCAAAGGCTTTACAGTGCACTTTAAGAAACGCCGATGTAATGTATTACTTCATTTGGCAATCCAATTGAAACTCATGAATTTAAGAATGATTAAGTTTTTTCTTACATTTTAGTATACCTATAATTGCTTGGGAATTGGAATGTACGCTTTTGGTACAACCTTTATTTACCTTTATTTATACAACGTTTATCCTGTATTCGTATTTCGGAATACATTGTATCGTATAAGAATATTCTTGTAGAACGCAAACTGAATATCTCGTATCGATTATGTAAATAATGTTTTTAAACGTAAAACTGTTTCGAAAGTATATTTTTATATTAAAATTTGAATTACATTCATGAATGTTTTAACTGGATGTATTCAAGGACCATAATCATCATCATATTCAGCCCTAATTCGTCCATTGCTGAACGTAGGCCTCCCCCATCGATTATCACAATGCCCGGTCCTGTACCGCCCGCATCCAGTGCATTCAAGGATATGTTTCATAAATTAGTAAACAAGATAATTGTATAATATTTTTAAATTGAGGTTATTAACCCTAATCATGTGTTTTGGTATGAAAAAGGAAATTACGACGTACTAATTTATCGATAATGAGTATACATTTATGGTATTTAACGGTCGGTCTTCTAAATGTTATTTAGCAATTGGATAGGGTTGTTCGAATTGGAAAGACGTTATATCAGCCTTTTGACTATTATGGTTGGGTTTCTATGTAGTCTCAAGGGATATGTACGTTATTTACCACTCATTCTGTTAGAGGCAGTTGTGGTAGCCGCTTCAAACACTTCATCTTCTAGACTGACGTCACCTTGAGAGCCTCTCTTCTGTTTCTCAGTGAAGTCCGATTTAATCTTGCTTCTCATGAACTTGGCGTACGCAACCCTTGCGGTCGGATTCACCGATGATAGATTTGGATTATACTCTGGAATTAATAAATTAATTTAGTATGTTGTACTGCTACTAGGCAAATGTAGGTTAGACATTTTTTTGCCATCATGTGTATCTTCTCGGCAAGTGAAATATCTATTGATAGTGTAACCTACTATGTAATTTTCGAGTTTTATTTGAGTACTTCAAAGAGTATTTATTGTCTTCATACGCAGTGTATATTTCTTACCCAATAGTTTTTGCGGATCGATAGTCCTGGCCTGAACGTTGTCCAAAATGTGAAGTCTGAGGGACTGTCGGCTGCGTTTCGTCTCTGCCTCTGAAGTCCTTCCGATTGGATCTCGTCGGGTTGTGTTGGTGCGTACCAGAGCGTTCCAATCGCGTTTCTTACTGTTAAAAGTAATTTCATTCGAATTATTTTAAAAGCTATAAATAATGTAGGTCAAACAGTTATGAATCAACTACAATTTATTAAGTTTCGTCATTTAATCAAGATGACTAACTGTGGGTTTCCGAGTTCAAAATCTCTGTTTAAAAGTATTGTTATCTCTGCGTTGTCAAAGATAAGGACAGGTATGACGATATGTTATATACAGGGATTTTGATGTCAGAAGCTCACGGTAAGGTAAATAAAGATTAAGTATGGAGACAGAGTACTCGATTATCTGGTGGAAACCAAAAACAGTCGACAAATATGTTGATTTTGACTAACATTTTATGGATCCGTTGATTTCTCAAAATAATTAAAAGTTATTACCTTTCAGTGCTACCCTTCCGTACGATGGCTTTAGCGATTTGACTGAACACATCTTTGGGCTTGCTCTCTCTGGAGATGACGTCCTTAATGATACCCTCGACAATTCCGATCTGGAAGTCCTTGAGAATTCTCCTCTCCATCACTTTGCCTTTCTTACCGGATACTGCAAGGAAACATGTCATTTAAGTAAAGCAAACAAAAATTTAATACAGCTAAAAATACGTTTTCGTTTCTGAATCTTATTACAATTTACTTTTATTAATTCAAAATGTTGCAACCTTCTTTTATAGCCATATGCCAGTACAAAATCATCCTCCAACCACTTATTTGCCACCCACTCCAAACATATTTTAATATTTACTTGTGGTATCTTGCATGTTGATCCTTGGCGTCTTCATGCCGTTGTTATGAAGTATGTCGATTAGTTCGAAGCGTAGCGTAGATATGTCCTGCCGGATCTCCATCACGTCATCCTCCGTTACGCCAACATCGTCACGCGCCCGCTGCTCCGCCGTCACGTAGCGACGCACCAACACGCGCATCACCGCTTCGTGACCTTCGCGAGCTTTCTCACGAGATTTGTTCTGGATAATTTAATTTTTAATTCAATTACATTTTATAGAGGATTTCCACTGCCGTGACTATTGTGTTGTTACATATTGTTCTCTCTTTCATTCTTGACAAAGCAAAGACGACAATTTCTATTTGACGACAGTGGAATTTCACGACTAGTTCATTTTAGTGTTTTTAGTTTGATGTTAAATTAAGTCTTTTAATTATGACGATAAGCGTTTTAAAATTTATCGGGTGTTCTAGAGTAGATTTGATACTCATAGTTCTTGATTTGTAAATTTCAATGCAACAGGCCGCCTATGATTGTCCAATTCACGGCGAGACATTAGGAAAGTAAATTTTGATAAGGAGAACATGGTAATGTGAAAGACAATATTTATGAGGTTTATTTTAAGCACTTACAATAATAGAACCCCGATCCCGTTTGGAGCATAAGCGTTCGATCCAGCCCTTGAAGTGTTTCGGAGTGGGAACAATATTAAACGGTGGTGGTACAGTATCGCCATCCTCGAAGTAAGACATCCAGAGGTTGCTTCGCGCAAACTTCCATTCTATATCAGCTCGTTCCTGAAGAATAGTATCAGTGAGATAAAGACAGTACGTAAAAGAAGAAAGGCCTTTGTCACCGGCACCAGTGTTACAAGAGAAGTTATCAACAAGAACTATGTTTGGACTAAATTGGAAAAAACTAAATTTATCGCCACAACAAAACATAGAACCAATAAAGAAGTAGAAAGATACGTTATTACATATTTTCTGTGACTTACCGAGATAATTTGGTAAGAGTTTGACATCATGGCAATAAGCATGTTAAGCAGCACTATAATGTTGATAACGGAATACGAGCCGAAGGTGAGCAGCGCCCAGAACCTGGTGAAACTCTTGATGCCTGTCAGCTCGAAGGTTGTCAGGTCCACCAGACCGAAAGACGCCCAGAACAGAGATTGGGATGTTTCGAACAAGCTGAAATTACATAAAAGAACATGACTAGCAAGTCGAAGACAAAAGTTCAGTTGAAATTGCACGATGAAAAAAAACTGAGAATTTTAACACTACACAATAATCATCGTTGTAGTTTTAAGTTTAATAAAAAGGAGTTACAGAGATTGATGAAAGATGAAAAGTCTTACTTTGCGTATCGTCTCCAGATTGTGCAAGCACGCTCTTGATTGTCAAAGTCAGGAATTCCACTTGGAGTATGGTAACATTTGTTCTTTTCCAGTTCGGCGTAGTACCAAAGAAGTTGATTCAAACCTATATTGAAGAACAATGTGATAATTATTCAATACATTTTCCACTGGAAATTCATAAATTAAGAATTATAAACTTACCGCATCCAAAAGCGAATAACACCAACATATAAACGAAGAAGAATTTTATAATATCGATGATCATACGCCCGAGAGATACTTGAAGCGGTCCCAAGTAAGGGTTGATGGAGAAGATATGGACTAGCTTGAGAAAGGAGAAGATCATTCCAGCAGCAAAGGCGCCCTCTGACAGCAGCATCGGATCGAAAGAATCCCAACGCTCACGCGGGTACCAAGGGTCGAGGCCGGCGCGATAGTCTCGCTGTAAAAACATTACTTTGAATTTCCATTGCTAAAATTTTTGTCTATTGTCTATTATAACAGCATATGGTTTTTATTTACCTGTACTATATACCAAGACGAGAATCGTAAACTTATCCAAGCAATGTAAAACATGTTCGTGATAAAGTCGACGATGTTCCACAGATCGCTGACATATTCCATGAGACCGCCTTCCCAAAGTGATCTTATCTCAGCCCATATTAAACCTAAAATGTGTAATGGAGGTAAACTTACCAGAATTCATACAAAGAAGTTTTTGCGAAAATATAAAATTCAGAGACATGGGAGGTATAAATCATGAAGAGAGACTTATGAAGACACAGCATTATGCATCAAAAGTCACGCCAAATAATCCAATAATTTTGCAAAAACTGGTGTTACTTATTCAATCTTAAGTTTTTGTCTACAGACACTTTATTTTAATATTATAGCTTAAATTACATGCTGATAATTGTAAATTTACTTGCTATGAAGATGATGACAGTGAACTCGATGAGGCCCGGTAGTGCGCCCCTCTCGTGGGCTTTCCAATGAGCCACCAATTCCTGAAGCCAGCGGATCCCAGACCATTCCAGTACCAGATATTCTGCCCTCTGAGAGGCCAGTGAAAGTAGAGCTGCGAAGAAAATATTACTTAATACTGTTAAAGATTTGTAAAGGAAAGAAAATAGCTTGAAAAACCACGACCTAAATTTACATATTAAAGGTAGAAAACGTCATAGTTAGAACTTCAACCACCATGATAAATTACTAACTTAACCTACAAGATATCGTCATGATTATTATTAGCATCTGTCATGCATCAGCGTGGTTGACTATGGCCTAATCACCCGTAATTTAGGGTAGGCTCCGAGCCCCTCGGTGGGGGCGTATTGTGAGCTGATGATGATGATCTGTCATACTGGTTGTTGTGTAATTCATTCCACATTCATTATTCACACATTCATTATATATACTTACAAAGAAATAACATATATGATGAACTGTGACAGATGAACTTGACAAATGGTTTCTTCATGAACTTGCCGTACTCCGAATCCGGGTTCAACATGTAAATGGTGCAATACACAGGGAACATGAAACCAAGTTTTGCAACCTGTAATAAAATAATTCGAATAAATATTTATTTAAAAGTGGTTGAACTAAAGTAAAAGAGATATAATACGATTTGAATTTATTGTATGAAAGCAGTTCTTACGGATATCATAATAGAGTTTAAAATATATTTACTGCGACTTAAAACTAATTTTTGAGAGCATTGGTGGCTCAGAGGTCAAGCACTTGACTTGCAATCTGCGGGTCCTGAGTTCGAATCCCGCCATGTACCAATGTGTTTTTCGATTTCCGATTTACATATATACATTTATCCGACGTTCTTACGGTGAAGGAAAACATCGTGATGCTGCACATATCTGAGAAGAAATTTAAAGATATGCGTGAAGTCAACCAACCCGCACTTGGCCAGCGTGGTTGACTATGGCCTAATCACCCATAACGTAGGGTAGGCTCCGAGCCCCTCGGTGGGGACGTATAGTGAGCTGATGATGATGATAAGTAATTTTTAAATTCAATTTAGATTATAATACATTAGTTATTGACAAATCTTCTGTTTATTAAAAGTATGCAACCTTTTAACCTCTTGCATATATATATATATATATTACAGCGACCTCTTTGTTATTTTAGTGATTTAGGTGGCCGCTTGTTCGTTAACCATCTTATAATATAAAAAGGTATCTACCATAGATATTAAAAATTTTATTCTTCGTAAACATAGTAAATAGTCATATTAAGTAAAGTCCCAGAAAATTAGAAGCAGTTTACGACTACAGTAGCTTTAAATGTACGCGAAAATAAGGTAGTAAAAGTAACGTAAAATGGGAATAAACTAGACTCATTTATTATCATAGTTTCCGTCTTTGGATATTCAAGGTAAAGATAATATCAGTAATCTAAGGTCAGGGTAAATTTACACGAGGGTAGACTAGACAGACAGGACTGTACACAGTTAAATAGAGCTGTGTGAGAATGCCCTTTACTCTACATGAATTTATATATTGTTGTCTTTGTTTATTCAAAGGGAATGTGAGCGATGACAATATGTGTCAATTTAAATCCCACACTAATCTGTGTCGGTGTCTTTGTGTGAAATTACCATTACTGTGTTTGGTGGATGTAATTAAATTTGATACGTTAATAAATAATGTAGCGCGTATCATCTTTTGACCACATTGCTTATGATGAGATGGGAGCGTGAACAATTATCAGACTAATATTATAAATGCGAATGTTTAGATGGATGTTTGTTTGAAGGTATCTCCGGAACGGCTCAACAGATCTTGATGAAAATTTACACAAATGTAAAATATAGTCTGGTTCCACGCGGCCGGAGTCGCGGGCAACGATTAAATAAGAAAAAACTATACTACGAGACGTTAAAACGATGGAAATAATGTTTATTGTGTTGTTTAAGTGAACTAGACATTGATATGCATAAACATAAGCTTTTATATTTAATATAAACATTCACAGATGTTTGTTCTCGATATTTCATATTAATAGTAATCGTTATTTATTTGAGGTCATACATCTAGATGTATTGTACAATTGTGTGCATTTATTCTACGTTTTCATTGTAGTACCTGTACAGTCAGCTGCATAGGTGCATGTCCCAAAAGGTTACGTACATAGGGGTGGTCACAAGGGTCACCAGAGAAATTAAATAAAAATTCCCCTCTGCGTATAAAAAAAAATAAATGGCATTTTTTAAAAACTTAAAAATTTTACACCTTCTATGGCAACTTTTACACCTTTTGGGACATCCTGTATACACTTAAAAAATCGGTTCAAATATACGTAGGTACGAAATCGTCATAACATGTAAACATAGTATGAAGTATACGGTAGGATTCGTGTATATAATAAGTGTATACTTGTATTTAAAGTTTTGTTAATGTATAGATATTTATGCAGCTGACTGTACATCTGTCTGCCTGTTTGTTTTATCTATCTATCCAAATTTAAATTACGTTATATCATATGGAATACGCTTTTCACTATTCTTGTTTTAAGTTTTCTAAAGCGTATGTAAATATATGATTTTACCTGCACACATTGTCCGACAATATTTTTCCGTTTAAATCCAGGTAAGCCTTCGTACCATATAGCTCCTAACAATTGTTGTACGTTTGGATGAGCAACAAACTGAAAATAATAATTACAGTAGTTGTAAAATACAATGATAAAACATATAAATTATCTTTTAAGAAGTAGAATAAATCTTAAATTATTCAAACTTTCGTGAGACATTATACTAAACTGATATATAAACACGGCTAAACACTCAAGTATATTCGTCCGGTGTCGGCACCGACTAGTTTCGAGCCCATCGGGGGCCCTTCATCAGGATGAGTGGTACTGGTATTATTTCGCGGACGCGGCCCTCAGCTCACTGTTGGATTACGCCACCGGACGTATATACGTGAGTGTTTAGCCGTGTTTATATATCAGTTTAGAATAAATCTTACTAATATTATGTGTATTTCTGTGGAAAAATATAGTATCCAAAGAGTACAGTCCGACAAACTTAGCTCGCATAGAATAGCGCTATATTTTAAGAAAGAGCACTATAGTTCGACCAGGATTTTGTATCACTTTTTTGACATTAATAAAGTAAATAAGTAATAAACAGTTTTTCTCACCATTTTCTGTTTATATTTAATAGCTAGTTTGAGACGACCGAGTGTCTGCCGCTCGCCAGGTTCCCAGGAGTCCAGGTCCCAAGGATTGTAGTTGAGCATGATCTCCAGCTCCTGGGACGTGCGCGTGTGGTCCAGCAATGATGTTGCGAATTCCTGACATTGCTGCCTTAATGCCTGGTGCCAAAAAGGGATGTAGTTAGTAGCTTATTAGTCTTGGTACTATGAAGAACCAATTCCTAATTTTTTGCGTAGTTACGCTTTTAAGTTTGATTTAGTTCTTCGTAAACGTGTCTTTTTACCGTGTAAAAAAATGTCTACCCTCTATTTGTCTTTGAGAACACAGACAACATTTTTTATAATTAATTGTATTTTGTCTCAATTATTTATAATCTGTATCATACGTTTGACATTTGAATTAACTTTAAAAACTACATTTTTGAAGTCAAGTCATTTTTTACATTTTCTTGATCATTGTAAGGTTTTCCTGACATATCAAAATATGTTATACAGTATTTAGATTATACTATCTAATAATTTAACCTTATATTCGACTCTGAATTCAGTTTCCATCCTGCTGAGGCGGCCGAGCTCCCAGGACAGCTGGAAGGCGGTGAGCAGGGGGTCCGCGGAGGAGAGAGCGATTAAAGACGGCGCTGTGAGCGCGCGGTATGCGTTGATACGCGCCTGCGAGTGCCGCAACGAGTCTTCCTGCTGCGATTTCACGCACTCGTCGCAGCCGCACCTTAATAAGAACAGCTTACAAACTATTCTACATACTAACTTTATGTTGGACATAATGTTAGACACTTAAAATATGTTGGACACATTTGTAAAGTTCAAAGAGTATTTGGTGTAAAAATGGCAAACGATTCTGTGTGTGACTGTACTAAAAATCTTCCTCTCTTTTTAAAAAATAATTTGTCAATAAAGTTTGTAGTGGAAAGAGGGGTCGTTGTGTGAGGCTTTGTTTGAGGAAAGGTCTGTACCTACTTGACGTCGTGTGGCACTGGCAAGGTGGCTCCCCTATCGAGCAGGATCTTGAGAATCTCGTAGTGGTTGCGGTGCGCGGCCAGGATCAACGGTGTTATGTCTACTGTGAAGGTCGCCGCTGAACTGTCTACTGATTCCCAACTCTATAACAATACATACTATTTAATTGTTCGCCCTGTCTATTCATTTATAACTCTGTAACAATATAAGTTTTAAATCAATATAATAATGTTCCTGTTTAACCGATTTGCTACTCTATTGTGATTTGATTAAGATTCATTTTGCTTAATTTTGACTTACATATGGTTCACCAGGGACGTGGTGCTCCTCCTCCCACTGCAGCAACAGTTCCACCGCCTCCACGTATTCCTCTTTGATCGCATGCAATAGTGCGTCCTGCAGATAAAACTCTATGTAAACAACTAATGTCTCATTGCGGCGACTGCTTGTTGAAGAAGGAACATAACATAAATGATTTTCATAAAACTATAATGTAAAGCGACATTTATCAAAATATTCACAAGAAACAAGTGAATAAACTCCCGAAATAAAAGAACTTTTCGGACTTTTACCAAATCTAAGTAGTTAGTAAAAAAAAGTTAGTAAATTTTAGAATTGACCAGAGTTTGTGATTTTACTGTAACTAAATGTTACTAATATTATAAGTGCGAAAGTTTAGATAGATGGATGTCTGTTTAAAGTGTTTAAAGTATCTCCAGAACGGCTCAACGGATCTCGATGAAATTTGGCACAGATATAGAGCACTGGAAGAACACACAGACAACTAATTAAGTTTTCTTTTAATTCCACGCAGATGGAGTCACGGGCGAAAGCTAATCTTATATATAAAATTCTTGTGTCACAATTTTCGTTCCCATACTCCTCCGAAACGGCTTGACCGATTCTCATGAAATTTTGTGAGCATATTGAGTACGTCTGAGAATCGGCCAACATATATTTTTAATCTCGAGCGGACGGAGTCGCGGGCGAAAGCTAATATAATATAAAATGACTTACATATATTTGATACATTTACAATTTGAGGTACATTTAGTTACATAAATACTTTGTTCAAAGGCATTAGTTTAATGCAATTAAATGCAACCTTTGTACGGCCTACTGAAGGATGAATCTCTCATCATATCGTCTACGGATTAGTTAAAAAGCGGCTTATGTTAAGTTCACAATCACGTGTATAAGGAAAATATTACTGGCCATTTATACTTCCGAGTTGTGATATAACTCTAAAACTGCGGTTACATCTGTATCGATACATGTTGTCATAACTTAAATTCTATTCGACAAAACACAAACAGTATAAAAATAAAAATCCTAATAAAAACCCATTAGGTGGACTATGAGTTAATAAATTTTTTTTTCGTACGTTTTGGTAAAATTACCACGAAAAAAATGTTAGTGTCTGTATGTAACATCGAAAAAAAAATTACATGTCATATACCTGGATTATTTGCGTTACTGATAAAGAAAATTCAATTTTTATATGTATGTCTGTTTGCAAGGCCGTTTGTTCCGAGCAACCTCAGAGGTTGGACGAACTTTGAAGGAACTTTGAGAGGAATGTAACTGCGCGTGAGCATATAATTATTCCCAACAAGTCTATTTATGGATATGGATCATAGTGGCCATAAATATTAAAATTTTTAAAACAACTTTTAATACGTTCATTATGTTTGTAATAAACTTCAATTTTGTTTACAGTATATTTTAAACAACTAACAAATAATTCAACTTTATATTAACATAATATTTTACGAGACTACACAACGCTTATTGTGATTATTAGGTTTTTTTTGTTTATAAGAGAGGGGGCAAACGAGCGGCGTGAACACCGAGGTCATCAACGACACCCATGGACAACTGCAACACCAGAGGAACTGCAGATGCGTTGCCGGCCTTTTAGGAAATGGTATGCTCGCTTCTTGAAGGTCCCTAAGTCGTATTGGTTTATTAGGTGCACCTATAATTTGGATTAGATCGGATAAGATTGTCAGATCTAGTATGGCGTAACCATGTTAACTTTTTTCATAAGAGAAGAGGGCAAACAAGCGACGATTTATTTAAAAGTATCAGATTTTATGCGATTTATGCGAATTTTATTAAAAGACAGAGAAGAAAGAGATGATTAGGCGTACTAAAGTTGCCCTCATTTTTAGAAAGCGGTTGGGATTTTTATAGAACACCGACTTTAAACGAACTAAGCCGGAAGCAAGATTGTACCTTCTTAGTCTATTTGAGATTTTATCTGTAAGAATTTTCTATTTTTAAAAGAAAAGGAAAAAAATAGGGGAAATTCACGGTTTAGTGTGACTTGACTGACTAAAACCCCTTTGGTGACCATCCTCGAGTGCGATTAGAGAGAGTCTATCCAAAGTTACCCACCATGGCTCTCTGACCCCAGGGAAAACTAGCCTTGTGGTCTCTCCTAACTACGACAACTCAAGACCTCACCTAGTTTCCTTCTTCCCGGGATGCTTTGGTAAGGCCATTGGTGCCTTTTTTTTAAGAGGGGTAATGAGTTACGCATACCGGGTGCCCCGGGGAACGCCACTCCGGTTATGTTGGACTCTCCACATCCCTTGCACTAGAGGGAAAGGGACATGGAGCCTACCCACCTAACCCCCTCTGGTTCCCTCGACTAACTGTTTACCTGGGTGTGGGCACATGTAAATATTCTTCGTACAAACGGTGCCGCTACCCTAATTACCCACGATTCCAAGGGTCTCTTCTACCAGAAGGACAGGGGATGACCTTTTTTGTATAGAACTACGGGAAAACAGTCCAAGACTCTTCGAACAAACGCCTTGTAACTTACCTATGTGTAGTCTCTGTCTTCAGTCAACTAGATTTATAAGCTATTAAATATACGAGTAAAAGCTTATTCTTTACACATACTTTCAAAGTACCTTGACCTGAATTAAAATTAGATCTAATACGCTTAAACAGCTTACGTCTACATGCACATAAAATTGTTGTGGGTCGAATCAATTTACTTAATTTGGATAAAACTTGTGCCCTTGTTGAACATTATTGAGTTTAAAATGAACGATTTAATGGAATATTAAAATTTGATTGCGAAAATAATAGCTCTTTCGTATAGCTATTTGTATTATATTAGTAATGACGTCATAATGTGGCGATTAACTGTGTATATAATAAAAATAAATTTCATTATCTTTGAGTAACAGACGTATTTTTTTATGTATGTCTCGTCTGTTAATTCATCAAAATCTGGATGACCGAGCTTTGCTCGGTATTTTTTTTTTAATTGTGTTTTTTGTAAATTATATTTAAGTGCGAATTACTAATAAAATGATGAAATATGAATAATATTTTTCGATCTTACCGATAGAAAAAGTTAAGTTTATGTTTAAGTTGATTATCGATAAAACACGAATAAAATGACATTTTCTAAAAATAATTCCTAGCTAGATCGATTTATCGCCCACGAAAACCCCTATATACTAAATTTTATGAAAATCGTTGAAGCCGATTCCAAGATTCCAATTATATATATATATACAAGAATTGCTCATTTAAAGATATAAGGTAATATAGAAGTGAAGTAAGTCAAAGTTTTATCTAAAAAAGTAACAATATTTTATACAGTACGTAAATCACATTTATGATATTGAGATTTGGGGAAAAGACAAGTCTTACCAAAATATACGACCAAATATGCAAACTATCGATGGAAAGAATGCCCATAGGAATACAAAGGTAAATGTAAAGTTGTACCTTATTTCTAGATATCTTTTTGTTATAGAAGTTTTTTGCTTTGGTGCAAAATAAGTTTCCGTTTCAGAGACCATAATCTCTGTTTCAAACATATTGACATCCCTGTCATTATCATTGAGAAAACAGAGATAAAAATATGTTTTAAACTGAGATTATGTTCTTAGAAAACCTTGCTTAGTTTGTACTTTAAACTATTGCTTGTCGTGTAACTTATTTCAAACATTATTAGTTAGAATCATTTGGCGCGAATGACCCGCGTTAATTACAAAGTCAAGTGTCAGAATGATTAGTGAGTGGTGAACGTCGACATTTTAGTAAGGCTAGTGTAGTACACCGGCACAGTGTCGGATTTCCTTCCTAACACTCACTTGGACAGTATAAATTAAAAAAAACCTAAGTTACTCCCGCACACATCAGCTACCTTCCAGTTAAAGTCCCGTTCGAAACGGTCAAGTTGTTTCGACTGACAAAAGTTTAAAAATTAGTTTCATTTTAATAGTAACGTAAGTACACAATACGCAAATAGACAAAAGGATTACCTTAACTTTGATACCGGATGCTAAGAGAAGTTTTATCAGTTCAATATTTTCATTTTCAATTGCGGCGATAAGTGCAGATCTGTTGAGAGGGTCCACGCAATTTATATCGAGGATCTCCGGAGACGTTGCGTACTGGTCTATCAATCTAAAAACAAAAGAATTCAATGAATCATTACGCGCAGAACTAGGACTATGTTGCAGTAGAATCTAGATAGGAAAGTATCATGATGAATTATTTTTTATTACATTCGAGCATTGAGCGTCGGTGGCTTAAGGGTCAAGCACTTGACTTGCAATCTGCAGGTCTCAGAACGAATCCTGCCATGTACCAATGTGTTTTTCGATTTACATATGTACATTTAACCGACGTTCTTACGGAGAAGGAAAACATCGTAATGCAACCTGCACATATATGAGAAGAAATTCAAAGATATGTGTGAAGTTAAACAATCCGCACTGGGCCAGCGTGATTGATTGATTGATTGATTGATTATAGCCTAATCACCCTTAACTTAGGGTAAGCTCCGAGCTCTTCTGTGGGGACGTATAGTGAGCTGATGATGATGATGATACATAAGTCTTCCTTAACCGTTCGTTTTCAGTTGCCCAGAATTAGATAATGTTAGTGAAATTAACTAAAAATACAGTAGAACATGAATATGCGAGGGTCATTGTCCGGTCCCGACGGACTGCTATAAGAAAAACTCTGGTTAGAGAGAAACCTCTATAAACTAAAGAATCATTACTCCCTTCAACTCTTTCTTTATGTTTGAATTTATGTTTTGTAACACACCGATTTAAATAAGTAAGTATGTAAGTTTGGTTTTAAAGGGTGTTTTCCACTAGTCTACACAAATCTAAACTCTATTGAAATTCTCGTACCTTTCAATACAAAGGGAATGTAAAATGTTAAACAATAAATAACATATAAAATACAGGCTTTATAGGGCACGGTCAGTGATAACGCAGCTATACACATAGCTCACACGAGAATAAACAAGATTAAAGTGGACCTTGTAGTGATTCCCGGTGACTTATTGTGACTTATATGCCGAAATAGGTCCTACAATACGATTCTTATCCGGCTTTTGAGGCTACGAATGTGAAAGTTTTTAAATCTCTATTCGGTGTGTTTTGATGCGTCGAATACGGTATTCAAAGAAATTCTTTTGTAATGTTTTGTGTCCAGATGGCTGAGTTTTTTTTTTTTAGTGTTATTTATTGACAGCCTGATTATAGTTTTTTTTAAGAACGGGGCAAACGACCAGCGGATACACTGAGGTGCTCATCGACGCCCATGGACATCTGGAAGACCAGAGGAACCCCAGATGCGTTGCCATTGAAGGAAGGAAGGAACTTCTTGAAGGACCCTAAGTCATAGTGTTTTGGAATTACCGTAGTGCCAAAACACATACATAAAACCTTTCCAACTGTTTTTATTGAAGAGAACGAAAGGATAACAATTTTATTAATTAAAAAAATGCGAAAGTTTGGAAGGATGGATGGATGTTTGTTAGAAGGTATCTCCAGAACGGCTGCATCTAGCTGAAATTTGACATAGATTTAAAGACTAGACGAACATAGAGATTAAATAAGTTTTCTTTTATTTCAGCCGTGGACATGACAATCAATATTATAACTTATTATTCTATATTTAAATGCATACCATCTCAGTTAAGTACAATTTACCGTTAGTTAAGTATTATTGTTTACTCAGTGACTTTGACCTGGTGGCTGAGAGGATTACGCGGGGCTTCAGCGACGGAACACCGTGCCGATTTAATGCCAGGCGTAATGTCACGTGTGTCAACTGTTTATTGTATACTAGATGTTGCACGCGACTCCGTCCGCGGGGAATTAAAAATATGTAATCTTCTAAACTATGTTTTACATCTTTGACAAATTTTATTGAGATTCGTTTAACCGTTCTAGAGATACTTTTTTACAAACATTCAAATTTTTGTATTTACAAAGTTATTTAAAACTTAGCTGTCGTTCGTGAATCCGTCTGCGCGATATTAAAAAAAAACCTAATTAGTAGCCTATGTGTTCTTCTAGACTATGTTCTAAATCTATGATAGATTTCAGCAAGATCCGTGCAATCGTTCTTAAGATACCTTCTAACAAAAATTCATCCTGGATGGATTTTCAGATCCATTTAAACATTCGCATTTATAATATTATAATAGTGAGATGTAAGAAGTACTTCTAGTAACTTCTTCGTCAAGGTCAAAGTCAGATCCTTCTTCTCAATTATTAAGTGGAATTCAAGAGACGAGTAATACTAATTTATTTTTGAAAATAATAATTGCTAAACGAGTAATATCCATATTCAGACTGTTGCAAAACCGGTAGTCTTTTAATAGCGTCTGCAATCTATGGTCCGTGTATGGCGATCGGCTCGTAGCCCAACAACCGCTTGAAACTGTCGTTATAGTGTATAAAAAACGGTCCGTGTATGGCAGCTTACTTTTTAACAGTAGCGTAATCTCCTCGATCTGCATTCAGTAGGAATGATTTCTCTTCTCTTGTAAGCGGCTTCTCGTAGACCTGTCTTAAATCTGGCTGGCTGTTCCTGAGGGCTTCCTGGGAACTCCCCAGGAGCTCCTCCCTGGACCCCCGATTCATTCTTGCCTGGAACAAAGAACAGAAGTTTGATATCTAAAACTTAAAGGCATATGTATAGTTGTTTCATTATTATCTCACTAGGGGGACATTATTTGTATTGTTGTCTGATGATGGTGATGATGATGATGATGACGATGATGAAGACGACGCTGATGATGGCGATGATAAGGACCATTGTACATAAGGTCATTCCATTATAAAATATTAAATAAATATGAAACAGCTCGAAGAAATATAAATAGCGTGTAGGGACACAGTCAGTTTTATAGGCTTTTCTATAGTTCATCTAGTTATTACTATCCTGATTGAATTAACTATAATACTTAACAATCTGCATATACATTTTTGGAGTATAGATTGTCTTTTTAATAAAAAATGTAAGCTAATGGAGGCAAAGGCTAGGAAGAGAACCGATGGCTTTGAATTAATCAATAAAAGATCTTGATGCACTTAAACTTATGCAGATGTAAGGCTTCCACTTTAATGTACCTTGGGTTTATAATCTTTATAGAAGGTCGGTGCAGACAGAAGGAAAGGTCTTATTGTTTGGATAACACCGCGACTCTGTTCGTGGGGAATTAAAGAAAGGGTCTTGACAGACAGACGGACGGACAACAAAGTGATCCTATAAGGGTTCTGTTTTTTTCCTTTAGATATACGGAACCCTAAAAAGTATCTTAATAATAGCCTATGTGATATTCTATATAATGATATGTGGTATGAATGTAGAATATGTTTATGTTTTTTATATTATATAACATAAGGTGGCAAACGAGCGAGCGGCCACGTGAAATCGCTGAAATAGCGAGGTGACCCTTGCCCATAGACATACGCAATTGCATATGCGTTGCCTACCTTTAATCGACGGAGGAGAGGATGCACAGAAAGAAAATATTTTCCCTTTACATGCATCCTCTCATCCGGAAAGTACACTTCCACTACCCATCCTTTCCTTATAAGAAAAAGGGTGGGAAGGGAAAGAGGACTATGTAAGGCCTCCGGGAGGCACACTCATCAGACTGTATGCGGAATAGTTTCAACGTCACGCCTGTCTTCTGTGTGGTCGTGGTATTTCACCAGGCGAGCCAGGCCAATTCGTGCGAAGATGTTAAAGCGGGCTCTACCACTGTTAAACGTCTATACTACATTTCAATAAAATCTGTTAAGCCTTTCTGGAGATACCTTGAGATTTTAACAAAACATCCATCAATATAAACTTTCGCATTTATAATATTAGTAAGATTCATTGTGATGTTCAAAACATCGTAATAATATGAAAACTGCCCTCGTGGTCTCTAATAAAATTGTATTTGTCCACTAATTTATAGGCGTGATAAATTACCTGAACGAATTAGACTAAGTACGTACTAATTACCAGTTGGAGACCACAAGTCAATTATCAAAAAGTTGACAAACTCCCCCGAGTGTAATAGTTATTAGATTATCGTAAATATGTAAAATATAAGTAGGAAAACGTATATTCCTTTTATAACTATACTAGCGATTGTCCGCGACTTCATAATGAAAAGGAAATTAACCTTAGTTATTCCTGCAATCATTCTTCATTGACAAAATCCTAACAAAATCTGTCATGCAGTTTCAAAGATTGCTCGTAACAAATGCGGATTTGCGGACATACAGATAAAAATTTATAAAATTACATTTTCAGTGTAAACGTTGAAAATACATAATGTTTATGCAATATATGAAATGTTATTAATATTACGTACAGACACACCAATTTTGTTGTATGGATTTGTTAAGTTACAACAATTATAAAGTATTATTAAGTGACTTATTTATCAAAAGTTACTGCATAGATTTAAAAAAAAAAACTAGACGAATAGTGATTAACTTAGGCGATTATTTTGTATATTTTTCTATTTTAGTAAGTATTTTCTATATAAAAGTTAAGTATTATCTATATAAAAACAAAACGATATTCAGTTATTTTACTACTATTAAAATGTTAGGATGGATGGATGTTTGATAGTATATCCGGAACGACTCAACGGATCTTGATGAAATACATCGATGTAGAACATAGTCTGGAAGAACACTAATAAAGTTTTTTTTATACCGCGGTCGGAGTCGCGTGCGACAGCTAATATCCAATAAAGAATAAATTATACATACCTTACTCTTAAATCTATTATTTACAGACAAAATACAACTACGATAATCACTTTAAGGTGATATTTTTTTATTTTCTTTCAATATTTTTCTTTACTGTATAATTCTAATAACAAAAGAATGTACGAACAGACCAAAAAGTTAAGGACAACTGAAGGAAAGTCTCGTCAAATAAAAGGAAAGTAGTGGTAAATAAATAAAGGAACGTTTGAATACCATTAGGTATCGTAAGTTTGACAGTTACAGTATTATCGTGTGTTTCCACTGCGAAAAACTTGTTGTAAAACATATAGATCTTTTTCAATATCGTTGATAAAATTGTACTGAGTTAAGTAAATAACAACAAAAATAAAGGTCTTTATAAATTTACTAGCTGTCGCCTGCGACTCCGTCCGCTCGTTATTGAAAAAAAAACATAATTAGTGGCCTATGTGTTCTTCCAGACTATGTTCTATATGTATGCCATTATTGAGATCCGTTCAGTCTTTCTGGAGATACTTTTAAACAAACATCCATCCATCCAAACATTTGCATTTATATTATATACTAGCTGTCGCCCGCGACTCCGTCCGCGCGGGATTAAAAATAGATGTTGGCCGATTCTCATACCTACTCAATATGCTTACAAAATTTCATGAGAATCGGTGAAGCCGTTTCGGAGAAGTATGGGAACGAAAATTGTGACACGAGAATTTTATATATAAGTTGAAGTATTATTATAACTGAATTCAAACGTCTTTGTTGTATAATGCTGAAAAATTGTAAGCATTTTGAGGACGTGTTACATATCATTCGTAACGGGACAAAGAATTGTTAACAATAGAAAGGGCTGACGAGATAGAAATCTTAAGCATATCATGACGCAGTGTAAACCCATCTGATTTATGAGCCACGAGCTTCCATGACTGATATTTGTAGTTATTTTTAAACGGATTGTATCAGACGAGTTTCAGACATAAAAATATAAATTTTATCTAATGGATTCCTAGTAGGTAACTCAACTCGACTAAACGGATCTAAATTAAATTTCACACTTTACTTACTGTATGGAATAATGCATAGGTTGTTTAATAAGTTACAAGATAAATACGAAGTCGTATGCAAAAGTTAGTCATCATCAACCTGCCCTTATCCCTAACGAGGGTCGGTACAGTATGTACTACTCCTCCATACATCTCTATCAGCCGTCATATCCGAGTCTACCCCTCCTCTTTCACACAGTCATTTTGAAATTAGAAGGTATTTTAATAAAAGAAAATTTAATTGTTGCGAATTAAGGTTACTCTACGGATTTATAAAATTCTTTTAGCAATGAATACCTTTTTTAAAAAACGATTAATCTGAGGTAAGTATATTTTGTTTTTAAATAATTGAACCGATCGACTCTTACGCATAAAAATATAAATTTTAATCCCATAAAATAAAATATAATACTTTAGTTAGGATCATAAATTTATCAGAGAAATCTAAAAGAATCTTCGAAAGAAGAAAGATGAATACATTTTTTTATCTTTTGATATTGTTTTACTATAATTATTAATTAATTTGCCTTTATTAGTATTTTCATACTCACTGTTGTGTTCATATCGAAGCGAACACGAACTTTCTTATCCTTTTTACGCTTCTTCATTTTTATCTTTTATCTTTTCACATCACCAAAAAAGGAATCACTAACAAATTTTTATTAAAACTAAAATATATCATCATTTGACTATTTTCACATTTTTAATATCAATTTCATATTTTCGACTCAAAAAAAAAACGTATTTAAATTTCGTCTTAAAATATATTTTATCGATTCATTTTACAAACGCGTCACTAACAGATCACAGAACAATTGAATCTCTTAAAAAAGATGCTCTTTTTACTAAGTACACAAACATGTTTGTACCGGTTTTGTTTAATCTGCGACGTATTTTAACAGCTGTACGAATTTTAGTACTGCCCTCGAGCAAACCGTGTTCGAACTGAAGTTTGACTTGCTATTTTTAAAATGATATGTATTAGTTTTATGAATGAGTGTTTAGTGTGACTCATGACATAAAACAACTAAATTGTACATAAGGGAATTGAAACAGGAACATCGAATATTAGAATTAATTTTATTATTTAATTTTGCAACTCTTTTGCAGTTCAATGTACTTATTAAAATAAAAAAAATAAAAAAGTCAATTACATATAATTCTTTTTTAGAAATGACTAGTTGTCGCCCGCGACTTCTTCCACGTTTAATGAAAGAAGTCCTAATTAATTCCCGGTAATTATTCGAATTTTTCTTACCTTTTAAACCTTCCCTAGCTCTCCAGAAACATTTCAAGACCAAGATAAGATAAATCCGTTCAACCGTTTACGAGTTTTAGCAAGACTGAACATGAAGAATGACATGTAGAATGGATGGATGGATGTTTGTTTGAAGGTATCTCCAAAGCAGCTGAATGGATCTCGATGAAATATAATACAAAACATAGCCTGGAAGAACACATAGACTACTAAATATGTTTTTTCTTTGATTTGTATGTTTGCACATGATACTAAAAAAAAATATATGTATATAATAATAAAGAAAATAAATATTCGTAAGTAATTTTATTAAATAACTAACTTTATGTGTGTTTAGTCATTTTTTCTTAATTGTCACCAGTAATTGTAAGCCACGAGTTTTTAAATAATCCAATAAGCTTTTTTAAAGTATTTCATTGTTTTCAGTTGTTATTGAGGCAGGTTGTGTAGACAATTTTAGCATTTCAACAGGCACTTTTGTGTAAAGTTTAATACTTTCTCATCTCCGACACATGGCTGTCTTGTCTTTGATCATGTACGCTGCCTGAGAACTTGTTTACGCAGTAAAAACGTCAAGCCCAACGACAGTTAACATCTACGAGTTAGGAACATACGCTTATTGGTCGAACGTTTAAAGCGCGATACTTCTATAAATTACTCTACTTATTTGTTAGTTAAGGACAAAATGTCATACCTGACTGTACCCCTTTGACATTCAGACGTAGAATATGAATAGCATGTCAATTCACCTGTCAAAATTGACACATCTTACAAACCCACATACATGTAAACAGTGCGAGAATAATATTACTGTCGTGATTACTAGGGTAAAATAAAATAACATCCGACTCGAAGGACCAAAAACGATTACAATATTCTTAAATAATAGTATCTTACAGGGAGTTCCTAAGATCAAAATCCCCTTTTAAAACATATCGTTATTTCTGTTTTGTCAACGATAACGCGATTGGCGATATGTATACAGAGATTTTCGTCCTTCGAGTCTTAGAAACCAACGTTTGATCGGTTTATAACATCAAGTCATGGTATATGATACCTATGAAGAAACATCTAGACGTAAATTGAGCAAAAAGTTGTCTAGAATGATCTAATTAAAGTGCCATGATCTGAAAAGCGGTCAGTTGAAATGTTTATATCAAGATTTCGACCATCCATATTCTATGCATTGCAATGTATTTCACAAATCATAAAATTATACGAGTGAATGATGTAACGACATTGATACTATTTCAGTACGTCCCGATGAGAAGCCAAATCTACATCAGATTCACGTGTATATATTACAAAATTGCATTTGAGAGTGTCAGTGGCTCAAGAGTTAAGCACTTGTAATCTGCAGGTCCTAGATTCGAATCCCACCATGGAACAATGTAATTTTCGGTTTATCAATTAAGTGTAGGAAATCATCGTGATGCTGCACATAACTAATTTAAATTCAAAGTTGTGTGAAGTCAACCCGCACTGGAGCGTGGTTGACTGTGACCTAGTACCCTCCTGACTTAGAGTAGGCTCCAAGCTCCTCAGTGGGATATTATCAGGATATCAGGATTCAATCAGGATTAATTATTGGTTTTCGACTGATGACAGGCACTGGATGAAAAGTAGAATCTGATGATGAAATCTGAAATCAGTAACTTACCTTAAATAATTCTGTCAGGCACTAATTCATGTTTGCTTGTATCACTTCGTGTTCCTATGTATGGAGGTACCGAATTCCTTGTAGAATAACACCGGTGCGTTTTGTCGTGTCCTACGGGACACTGGTCAGACGATACGCTAAGTGAATACCACGTTAATCGAATTTTCAAACAGGGCTCGTCGCAAGTTCACTTAGGGTTGTGACAGTGGGAAAACTGTTATCGATGTTTTTTGTAACATTTTAATTTATTAAATTCAATTTATTAATTACTTTTTGGTTTTACATTCATAATAATTTAACAATTTAAAATACGACATTTAAATGTAAAACAGAATGACTCTGATGTATATTTTAAAATAAACAAGGTAATTATACGATTAATTGATATTTTATTTTTGGATAGTTTTCTATCAATTTTTCATTTTTATGCTTCAAGTTGACGGTATGACGTTTTTCATTCTTGACAGGCGATGGTAATTAAAATGGACCTTTTATCATAAAACAGTATTGATTAGTTTTCCTTTTTTGCGAGGTCTTGGAACATTTTGGACGAGATATATTCATAGAATAACCAGTACGTAAAATTGAATTTAGGATTTTTAACAGTATTGTATTGCTTTTTATATAGAGGGAGGTACACGACGACTTTATAGAAAAAAAGATAACGATCGACATAGAAGTCAATTTTTGAAATAAAATAAAAAAACAGTTTTATTATTAAAACTATCGATATTTCCGGACGAGGTTAACATCACTAGTCGACAAGCCACCGCTAATGCCATTAATGTAAGTCCGTCGGCGGCCACTGTGTCGATACGTATCATTTATTTCGTATCAGAAACAAAATGTCCGCGAAATGTTCCATATAACTACGTATGCGTATTTATTTGGACATCGCTAAACTGACGCATATATTTACTTTGTTACTATCATTGCTAATCTTCCCTTAGTGTAGATGGAAAACCGCACTAAGGGATACGATTAATAACCAATTAACTTCCGATTTTATATTAATCTACGAGTACATTGGTAACCAAATAGCAATAAACAGTGGTCCTATCACGAATATTTGTGACATCGTAACGTCATCGATAAAACTTATATTGAAGTATGTGCAGCGCCCCTATCAAGTACACCCAAATCTCATACTTATATTACTAATACTAGCTGTCGCCCGCGACTCCATCCGCCCGTGATTAAAATAAATTATTAGCCTATGTATTCTTCCAGACTATGTTCTAGCAACTATGCCAAGTTTCAGCAAGATTTATTTAGCCGTTTATATGGGCTGTTTTTAGGGTTTTCCCGGCAATTATTCGAATTTTTCTCACTTCCAAACCTTCCCTAGAGCTCCACGAACATTTGAAAACCAAGATAAGATAAATCCGTTTAACCGTTCTCGAGTTTTAGCGAGACTAACGAACAACAATTGATTTTAATATATATAAAATTATAAAAGCTAATGTTTATATGGATAGATGGGTGTTTGTTTGAAGGTTTCTGCAGAACAGCTTAATAGATTTGACATAGTCTTGAAGAACACATAGACTATTCAAGTTTCTTTTTTAATTCCGCGCGGACGGAGTAGCGACAGTTAGTTTAGACATAACTGACTACTAAACGAAGGCGATTGTCACAAATATTTGAACAAGGGTCTAGTAACAGTTATTCATTTGTAATGATATTTTCATATGTAAGCGTAAAGTGAAATACTTGAGCGATGTACTGCATCATGAAAGGTATAATTTACTTCAGCTGATAATGATGGGTAAGATTGAAGGCAAGAGACGCACTGGACGTAGGAAAAAGTCGTGGCTACGTAACATTAGGAAGTGGTCGGGGATTAGGTCAGCGGAAGAACTATTTCGTCTTGCACTTGACAGAACCAAATATTCCAAGTTAGCGGCCTTCAAGATTGAAGAGGCACTAGAAGAAGAAGAGGAATTATATTAAATATATTTACGTTAATACAGTAAATATTTCAGTTCGTAATAAACCAGGCCGAGGTACTGACGACATGTTTTATGAATATACTTCGGTAATAAAAAAACTATTTAGAACTCGAGTTTTTATTACGGCATTAAATATATAGCTTATACCAGCTTCGGCATATTACATATACCTACGGATTAGAAAGTTTATCGGAAGTTAAACTGCTGTTTTTGCAATCCGTACACATTGAAGACACAAATAAATTCTCCTTACAAAAGATTATTATTAATATGACATACATAGAGCGTCGGTGGCTCAGGGGTTAAGCATTTGATTTGCAATCTGCATGTCCTGGGTTCCTGCCAGATACCAATGTGTTTTTCGATTTACATATGTATTTGTTGCGGTGAAGGAAAACATCGTGATGCAACCTGGACATATCTGCGAAGAAATTCAATGATATGTGTGAAGTTAACCAGCACTGTCAGCGTGGTTGACTATGACTTAGTCACCTCTAACTTAGGGTAGCATCCGAGCACCTTAGTGGGAATGTATAGTGAGCTGATGATGGCATAGATTGCATTAGCTTCAAGCCACAAGATGACGTCGTTGGTCGATTTAAAATGTCCTTACAAGAAAGTCATTTTGCAGTTTGAAGTAGTCTCTGTTTGTCCACTCCAATAATATCTGCCGTAATTAATTTTAATTATAAATATAATATTATCTTTATATATATAATTCTTCTGTGAGTGTGTATGTCACTGAACTTCTCTCAAACGACTGGACCGATTTTGATGAAATTTTTTGTGTGTGTTCAAGGGGATCTGGGAA